CTTAAAAAAAGAATTCCTGTCCTAGAAATCCCTTGCAAAAAAATATGACATTCCTAACGTAGAAGTGAGCTAACCGTCCTCCTAATTTTAGAACAGTGCATGCCCAGTACTAGGAAAATGCTGTGCAAAAAGTGCTCTATATTTGTATCTGCAATGCCGACATCCTTACTAGTGTTTCTTATTGCTGACTGCCATCCAAGCATCCTATTCTGTGTGACAGTGATCGGTATTATTTTCCTTGAATTAGGCAGTTTTTCTTAAACTATTTAATACCAACCAAAGAAGAAGGGAAAGCAAGAAGTGTAACAGCTCTGCAACTTTTTTCCCCAGAAAGAAGAAGCATTACCCGGAATGCATAAAGGACATATAATGAGAAGTGATGGAGGAAAATAAGGGAAGGAAGATTTCCTCACAGGGAGGTTTTAAGTAGGGTCTGGCAATAATCTCCCAAAGGAAGTAGTGGAAGTCTGGTCGCTTAAATCGATTAGAACTAAACAGAGCATCACACTCCACAGGACTCTGTAAGGAGAAAGCAGTGTCAGACTGAACTAAACCAGGTTTTGTATGCTTGTTTTCTACGAGGCTGCTGTCTGGATTTTGCCGGTAAATTCAATATGGCTAATGCTGATTAACCACTCTCTTGATGGTGATTATATCACTGCATTATTTCCATCCCGTTTCTCAGGATCATGAGCTCATGAGGGTACGGACATAGGAAACACATCCCCTGGCTCGTCTAGCTCAGTCTGCAAGACAACTGGCAGATAAAGGACTGGAGAGTTTTGCATGGTCTTGTCCTTCACCTCACCCAGGTGAAGCACTAATCTGAGTAATTGTGTCCCCCGGGCACTAGGTGTACAGGGCCAGTGCATGCAAGACCAGCCAGTGGCAAGTGCAAAACAAAATAAAATGATGCCTGCTTAGGCTTAACTTTTTTGGGGAGGGGGCATGCTTCAAGTGCACAGGAGAAGTCCTCTCCTGGCTCGACTTGAAAGATAAGGGAAGCAAGCCTCTGAAGAGCTGAGATGTTTTCTGATCTCTTCTCGTCTGTGGGGCATTGCTTTGTGTGTACATGTTATCTTTTCTCTAGCTGGTTTTCCTGTAGCCAGTCAGTTTCATATAAGTGCTGCCATAGAAATGGGTTGAGATAGGAATAATGAAAATGGTCAGGGGCAGAGAAGGGAGGACTCCACATACAAGCTTGGACAAGGTGCGCAGCAGAGGCTCCCACGAATTGACCTGTCTACTTAAGCATTAATATACATGGAAAAGAAGGCTCAAAAGCAAATAAACACTGGACATTTGTCATTTTATTTATGGTAGGGGGGGGAAAACAAACAAACAAACAAAAAAAAAACAGAAATTCTTGCAGGCACCTGTTTTACCCATCCAGCAAAGGCCTCTTTCATATGTAAATGGAGACATGTATCAGAGAAATAACCTGTTTCCTTTTTAAAACACAGATCAACTTGGTTTCGCTGACTGTTTTCACTGGGATGCTTCAGTTGGGTCAAATCATCTTAAAAGCCCGCTCTTACCTCATCCTTCGGAGATGGGTGTGCGGCTGTAAGGCACCCAGCTCTGAAGCCTCCTCGCTCGAAATGCGAGGTGGCCATGGCCGCACACCTGCGCCACCACCGCCACTTTCCTGTCAGGAGGGATGGGGTGTGGGCAGCCCACCACACGGGCCAAATCACTACTTAGTCAGCTTCAGGCTACAGAGGTTGCTCTGGCTTTAGCACTTGCCAGTAACCTGTGCCATCAAAGCTGTCCTTTGGGTAGTTTCAAGCATTGCCACTTGAGAGATTCCTCCCCAAGGGCAAGGACAAGTGCTGGTGCTTGCAGAGAAGCTTTCCTCCCCGGGACCTGCCTGTTGTGAGAGGGAGGAGAGCTGTGTCACCACATTCGATCTCATCAGCCGTAATGACACCAAGGTGCACCTTGGACTGGTGTTTTCATCCTCCTCCTCTTCAGGCACCTCCCGGGCATCACGGGGAAGCCCCTGCACGGTCCCGTGCACGGTCCCGTGCACCAGGCCCAGCGCACAGCAGCTGTGAGAGGTCTCACTGCTGTTTGTTGCCATTTTGGCTTACTGGGAGCGAAAACCCTCGTCAGCGTGGGAGCCAGCCCTGCTGTGAGTCACCCTCTGCAGCGTGGGGCCTGGGGAGGCAGGTGGAAGAAACCCTGGCCCAGCGCAGAAAATGTTTTTAATGCGCTTCACAGTCCTTCCACCTAGTGGCTAAGGGACACCACTGCCAGGAGAGCTGGGTTTGTGCTCAAGCCCCTGCCAGGGACCCAAAAAACCCCAGCCGGTATCTGTGGCTGCTCCTAGGGACCCGCGCTGCTGCTGAGCTCCCAAGATGTGTAGTAACGTGTGAGCCCCCACGCTGAAGATCTTATCAAAGAAAAACATCGGCCTGTGCGTAGCTCATTAAGTTTCCGAGCAATTTTGTTAATCATGCTGCATAGATGAAATGCAGATAGGCTTTAGTGAGCTGATAATCTAACAAATAGGCAAAAAGTGTAACACTGATAAAGCAGAGATCGGTTTAATAACCGGCTGTAAATCCAGGCAGTTCAGTACCAGAGGCATATTGTAAAACAGGAGCGGGCGAGTGTGTGTGTGCATGAAAAGGTACTGTTCCTTAAAATAGCAGATCGAGCGATATTATGGGTGGAAGAGCTATTGGGAGCGATTCTAGAGGTGTTCTAAAATATTTTTCTCCCCATCAAAGTCTGCACCACTTGTGGTATCTTCATAATTCAGCATCACAAGTACAGATGTATGAATAACAAAGGCACGTTTCTGGAAGTCGTTTTTTTCTGTAAAGATCTATGATCTCTACCACTGGTCCTGAGGCAGTGTAAGGAATTTATAGGCTTTTCACTGGGACGAAGCAAATTATTCAGTCAGATTTATGCTGCTTATGAATAAGACCATCACAAATGCATGCCCTGATGTCTCACTGAGCTCTCCAACAGGCTGTATGTACCAAGCCCTGTCACACGTTTCCTGTGGGAAGGAGGTGGACCTCGGGGAGAGATGGTGGTTCAGCTCGGGCTGGGCACGAGATCTGGCACAACTGGGCTCAAGGCTCTCCTCTGTTGCCCCTCCTGAAGTCCTTTTGCAGGAGGAAATACAGAGTGGGTGGCAGAGCAGTCCTGAAGCATACTGATTATTATTTTCAAGCAAGAGGGGGAATATGATATTCCAGTCTGCGTGTGTTTTGCGTTAAATAGCATTTAGGAGCAGTGAGTAGAAGCTCAAGTGTCTCCTTTCAAGTGGCTCTAGCAGTGACTGAACAGCACCTTTCTCTCTCTCTACATTGCTCCTTGCTCAGTGGTGTCAATTCATCTGGAAGGACAAGGAAAAGCAGCTCACTTTCGGGCTATCCCATACCTGCTGGATAGGATATTCTTCCGAGGAGCTGGGAAATGTGACTTTGAATCCCCACAGCTTGAGGAAAGGACCTGATCTCCTACTTTCTGGGTCCACATTCTGATCCTTAGGCTGTTTTACAAAAAGGGAGCAGCAGTGTGTGTCATCTTGTTTGTTATAAAAGAATAAATGGAGCTGGGATCACCTGCCAGAGACAATTGCAACCAGAAGTAGGTTGCTGCCTGTGCCACCCAACCTCAGGTGGGCGTGCAGGTACACACGTTGGTGCCAGACATGGATGCTGCTGCCTGGTTTAGCTGTCTGGCTGCTCCAAACCCCATCTCGATGCCTTTCCTTGCTGTGCAAGCCACAGGAAACCCAGGGTTGTGAATTCCATTTGCAAGCAAGGGAAGAAGGTGCCTTGGTGAACTGAAGTGACTTGCCAGGGTCTTGTGGAAGGTGTTAGTTGCAATAGGAAATTGAGTTGTGGTGTCCCAGATCTCAGCTTAGTGGCCAAACCACTGCATCTCCTCCTCCTTGTGGAGAAACCTTAATCCTTGACTCTGAGCCCTGTTTTCTAAGTAGGCTCTCACTGCTTCGTGAGGAATAAGAGTTTTTCTAGTACCTTTGTCTCCTGCCTGTTGGGAAAAAAATGCAACAGAAGTCAGTACCAATGCATAGTTGGTAAAAATTGACAGTACGTATAGTTTACTACGTGGCTTAGCACATTATTTGGTAATTATGTGTGAAGATACCATTGTAAAAAATCCGGAGGGAGAAAGTGCACATTTCTTTATATATGATATTGCGTGAATGTAAATGTAGTGTAGATGGTATAATGAAAAAAAGGGGACAAGTAAAGGTGCATGACTCAGACCCATACACTCCTGGAAACAGTTGTTACTCTTTCTACAAAAAAAATGATGGAAAATTATGTACTGAAGTGGGACGCAGAGTGATTGCATTACTTGAATTATGACTACGGGTTTCTTTTCTGTCAGCTGTACCTTAGACTCACTAAAAAATCAGAAACAATATGAGAAGCAAAAAATCTCCATGGGATAGAGAAAAGAGCCATGCAGTCAGTATTTAGCTGTTATTTATTAAGTCGTGGCTTGCAAAAATGTGGACGAAAAGAAAGGCATTTTTCTGTAATATTAAATGCTTCCTTCACAAAACACCTTTGGGACTTGAATGGTAACGTAAGTTTGAAACTGTTGCTCACCAGGGCTTCCATCAGAGCGGAAGAATCAAATCTGAATTGCTACTTTGATGATAATGTGCTGCATCACAGCGAAAGTAAGGTCCATCCAAGAGTTAGCAGCTTACACGCTAGCCTGCTTTCTCAGTCTTTTATTACAGCAGAGGCTTAGTTCATAGGTCTTCAAGTTATTTGGGCAAAACAATGATTAACCTTCACAATGATGTACAGAAGCAAAGTAAAGGGGATTGCGTTTGTTACTGCATGTAGCATCATTGCTGACCTGACAGAAGAATAGGTGGTACCGTGAGGTATTTATTTCCAGATGACATTAGGTTATCTAACTACACAGCGGAGGACTTGGGATGAGAGCAAGAGCTGATAGTAATGCTGGCAATTTCTCTCTCTTTTTTTTTGCAGGTCACTGTCAGGGGATTTGGTCCATTGCTACAGTTTGCCTACACTGCTAAGCTGTTACTCAGCAGAGAAAACATCCAGGAGGTCATCCACTGCGCTGAGTTCCTGCGCATGCACAACCTGGAGGACTCCTGCTTCAGCTTCCTTCAGACACAGCTGCTGAACAACGAAGATGGCCTGTTCCTGTGCAAGAAAGATACCACCTGTCAGCGCATGCACGATGAAGAGAACTCAGATGGAGACGAGGAGGAGACAATGGAATCGGAGACGTCAAAAATATCTTGCCCAAGAGAGAGAATGCACCAGGAGTCCTTCAATTTTGAAGCCACTGTTGCTGGAGCAGACAAAGGAGAAGGGATGCTGCCTGACCCTGACATGCTGAGAGATAGCAAGGACAATTTGGACAAAGATGCAGTAACACGGTACCCCAGATACAAGAAATACCAGCTTGCTTGTACCAAGAATGTCTACAACACATCACACATCAGTACCTCAGGTTTTGCAAGCACATTCAGCGAAGAGAGCTCTGGAAATGGCCTCAAATCAGGACTTGCTATGGGGCAGATAAAAAGCGAGCCTCAGAATGAAGAGAACGATGAAGAAAGCATCACGCTTTGCCTGTCTGGAGATGAACCTGACATCAGGGATAAAGAAGGAGATGTTGAAATGGACAGGAAACAGCCAAGCCCCACTTGTGTTGACAGGCCGAAAAGTGGGTCCTCTCCTTCTTGCTTGCGGTCTTTCTTCAACAGAACAAAAAGCATAGATTTGGTTGGCTTCCCCAGCACTTCCCAGCAGCACTTTGGCAGGAGTCCAGCGTGCCCTTTTGAAAAAGGGACAACTCAGGGTGACCACAAAACTGATTACGTCCCTTTCACGGGGAACTATGGGCAGTCCCATGCCATGCAGAAGGATGCTTCCAACTTCACAGTGGGATCGCCGCTCAGGGGGCCCGGCTTTGAAACTCTCTGTAAGCAAGAAGGGGAACTGGACAGGAGGAGCGTTATATTCTCTTCGAACGCTTGTGACCAAGTAAACACTTCGGTGCATTCATATTCTGGTGTGAGCAGCTTGGACAAAGACCTCACTGAGACTGTGCCAAAGGGTCTGTGGGCTGGTGGCAGCCAGTCTCTGCCCAGCTCTCAGACCTACTCCCACAGCGGACTGACAGCTGATCACTTGTCGGGAAGGATGCGGCCGAACACCAGCTGTCCAGTGCCAATTAAAGTTTGCCCTCGCTCGCCTCCTTTGGAAACCAGAACCAGGACCTCCAGCTCGTGCTCTTCCTACTCGTACGCAGAGGACGGCAGCGGCGGCTCTCCCTGCAGCCTGCGTCTCTGTGAGCTCTCCTCTTCCCCCTGCTCCCAAGGCCCCCGATTCCTGGCGCCCGAGCACCAGGAGCCCGGCGTGGTGGGAGATGGATTGTACAACCCGGTCCGAGCCCAGATTAAATGTGAGCCATCCTATGGAACAAACTCCAGCGATGAGTCTGGGTCATTCTCAGAAGCAGACAGTGAATCATGTCCTGTGCAAGACAGAGGGCATGAGGTAGGGATTTAAGATAAGTACATTTATGACAGTCGTTGTGACCCAATTAATTGCTCTTTCATTCCCTCAAATGTCTTGGCGTTTTCCCAGCACTTTCTTTGTTTATAGAGGCAAAGAGTAACTTCTATTTATTCCCACATCAGCTGAACCCACGTGGTTAACTTCCCGTAAATACGCCTGTTTGACCTCCGAGATGTTTGGTGCTTATCAGCATCGCAGCATTGGGCAATCCCAAACTGCTGAATGATGAGAGCGAGTTTGTGTGCAGGGAAGCTCTGGCAGTGTCCTGTTCTCCCTCCCTTAGCCACGTGCGTGACACAGAGCACTGTTCTTCATCCTCGGCGTTTGCCAAGGTGGTTCCAGCTCTGCTTGTCACGGGGGTTGTGTTTTAGCAGCCTAAAGCTGTGCCCTCGTTGCCTCTGAGGGCTGGGCAGCCCGCCATGAGCACGCTTTGGTTGCAAGCTCCACCAACTGTTGCATCAGTGGTTCCTAAGGGAGGTTATCCTTGACATTACAGGGCGGTTAGAATAGGAGGGAGACAGTCCAGGACACTTCTTTGTCCCTATATGCTGAGCTGGGGACATGCAGAAGAGAGAGGAGTCTCCTTGGAAGACTGTCCGGGATATTCTGCGTAGGACCTCACTCGGGAGGCCCTGCAGCAGCCATGCAGAACTGTTCTGCTCGGAAATACCAAGGTTATTTGCAGTCTGGCACTCCCTGAAGTGCTGCGTTTATGAGGGGTGAAAAAGAGCAGGGGGTGGGATTGAGGAAGGCGTTGGATTTCCACCCATGTGTGCTGCTTGCTCAGCAGGGGCTAATGCACAGCAGGGTACAGTAAGGAGGGCGGGAGGTTAGCCTTTTGGGCTTTGATGACTAATTAGCTGTCATAATTGGCTAATTGTGTGGAGATGCTGCAGCAGCAGTGACCCCAGAAGAGTCAAATGAGAAGGATATAGGGGACTGTGGGTGGTTCCCCAAAGTGGTGTGCATACGTGTGCACGAGAGCATGGAAAACAGAGGAACAATCACAAAAGGAGCAAATGAGAAGGCTGCAGGAGTCAGACTCAGTGTGCCATGGCAGGCAGATGTGTTGGGCTAGGAGAGGGTTGCTCCACTTTTTTTTGCCTTTTTTTTTTCTTGCTTTTGCATTTTGATTGAGATTGCTATGAGTTAAAATACGGTGAGGAAAATAATGCTCTCTGCGTTACCCAGAGCAAGCCAAAAGTAAGCGTACCACACTAATGTTTCCGTTCAGATTTTGTCTGAATTTGTCTGAACTTCTAAAGGTTGTTACCAATATGGGAAAGGATATCACAGCCTCATTAAACACTGTTGGGGTATAGAGCAACTCGGGGTGTGTGTCCTGTGATCCTGCCACATCCACTGCTGTGGGATCCTCAGCAAAGGAAATGTTAAACCATATAGTACAAAATACAGAAGTAGAAAATATATCTTGTGGAAGTTGTTGGATATGTCACTCTACCTAGCTTTACCAGCTTGGTTACCATTAAATACATAGTGTGCTCTGAAACATGCTGCTTTCTGTGCTTCACCACCCTTTAAAAGCTGCATGTGAATCTCCACTCACAAAGTCGTTGGTTTGACCTTGCTGTCCTGACTGCTCCCCAGACTGCTCCCTTGTCCCTTGCTGTATGCACGTGCAGTGTTTGCTGGGTTTTTCTTCAAAAAGCACCTGATAAGATAGGTGGGGGCGACGTGCGGGCTTACTGCTACAGGTGGGCTTTCGTTTTGGTGGGACAGCTTGGTGGGAGCAGCCCTGCTGGACTCTGACCCTGGGTTATCTCACCAAGCTGCCAAGTTCCCCTGGAGTTTGGACCTTGTTGGTCTTGATTTGGGTCCCAAAGTGCTGCCAGTGCCGGAATTAATGTCACAAAACATCGTCTGCTGGTATATTGACTGTATGAGAAGTAAGTGAAAGGTCTCTGCTGTTTAGGGCAATCTGCTTTCCTGCAGACCAGTGCCATGGAGGAGCACGTGCCCAAGGCATTCGGTGCCAAAATGGGCTTTGGAGAGGGATGCTAGGGCTCGGTGTGACTTCAACATGGGTGAAGGTGACCCAGCTGTGCAGCTGGACCCATATGGGGCTGCAGACCACAGTCACAAGTATCAAAGGGGGTGGCAGCCCCTGTAACACCTCTGGTAAATCCTCTCCTGGATGGCTTTGCCTTTTATTTTTCTTCCCATTAAAGAAGGCACCCAGAGGGTTCTGAGATTTCTCTTCCTGAGCACTTTGTGATAGAAGAAGCAAGTGCAACTCGAAGTGTCCCAATCCCAAAGTTACAGAGGTGCAGGACCAGAGCTGTTACTTGAGCTGCTGGGACCTTACAGAAATGCTTTAAGAGCTCGTGTTGTTCTTTTCACCCAGCTTTATCAGGCCTCCAGTGGCTGCTAAAAAAAACAAGTACTGGGTACTTTAACAAGTACTGGGTACTTTAGTACACTAAAAAGAAGACCTAGGCTCTGTGCTTTGCAAACAGGTTCTGACAACCCTGCTGAAAATAGCAACAAGAAAACAATAAGTCCTGAAATAATGAATTGTTGAGAAGGAAGTAGTCTGTCAATCTGTTAACCTAGTTAGGGGCAGAAATTTCAGCACTACCTATTTTTCTTGGTATTCATTTTCCTCAAGTATCTCTGTTTGTTTGTTTCTTATTTTTTTCCTGTTGGAAAACTTGTAAAAAACAGCATACTACTAAAACAGTAAAAAAAAAAAAAAATCCCAGCTCAGTCTAATTTGATGAGTGAGTTTTCTTAGGGAAAGAATAAACAAGGGTAGGACAGGGCAAGAGACTTGAGTTTTCTAAAAAGTATTGCTGCCTAGAGGATTGCATTCAATGTGTCTTTCATTTATATTTCAAAAGAATTTCCCGCCTGGGTTCGTGACTCACTTTTCAAAGGAAATTTTTGTGAAGGCAGAGCTAATGCAGTTGAACCTCTGAGGATACGGTAGGCAAATAACCTTCAGTGAGAGTCCAAAGCTGTCCATGTTAAGTGACTGGTAGCCGCCCTTTCTCTGTCTGGTGATGGTTAGCAGAGCTCTGTAAGCCAGGACCACAGAGAAGGAGGGGTAAACTAAGTGTAAACCAACGTTGCTGTACCAGAAACCTACCCGAGCAGTGCTGAGCTGCCTGTGCTGTGTCTGGTGGATGATCAGATGCCCAGGACCCCCAGCAGCAACACCAGAGCCCTGGGACTGTGTTTGGCAACATCTGGCTCAGTGCAGTCTTGTCAAACATCAGTCTTGCAAGGTAAACTTGACGGCAGTTTTGTTTCTTTCCCTCTTTTCAGCAGGAGTGGTATCCATGCAGGCAGAATTACTGCGCTACGGCAGCGAGAGTTTTTGATTACTCACCCGAAATTGCAGGAAGGTCCTTTTCAACACTGTCAGCTCCCCGTATTGTTTCATCGCAGCCTAAAATCAATTCTGTTATGACCTGAGCTGAAGCCCTTGCTGGAGCTCTTGAAGTGCGCTTTGCATTGATTTTTTTTTCCTGCAAAAACAGATTTTTCAAAGAAGTACTGCACTTTTTCTCCCTTCATTTCACTGCTCTGCCCTTCTCAGGTGTACCAATGGCTTCTGTCAGGGGTCTGTACTACTACTCCTGATCCCAGAAGGGCAGGAGGCTGTGTTGTCCTACCCTTTGTAAGGACAAGGCTGAGGACACTGTGAGCAGGGACCGGGAAGGGGCCAGCACAGCACTTTAAGCACCAGCAGTTTGGGATCTGAATGGAAGCCCAAGTGGCCACCAACGGTGCCGTGCCAAGCAGGGCAGGCTGTTGGCACGGTGACCCCAAGGACCTGCCGACTGAGGCATTTTCAGGCCTGGTTTGTCAACACAATGCTAGCTCCTCGCTGCCTGGGCTCGCCATTTTCCTCTTGCAGTCCTCTGCCATCCCGGTGTGCCTGACACCTGAGGAGATGGGCTTTGAAGGCTTCACCTATGTCTGTCAGCAGCAGGGTGAGGAAGCTGGTGGGAGTACATCCTGGCCCCACACAAATTGGGGCCCACTGCCTTGTGCTGCCTGGGTAGCCTCCACCCAAGTTTTATCAGCTACGGGCCCTTTCCTCTGGGCCCACAAATGGTGCCTCAAGCAGTGTGCAGGCAGCCAAGCCCCTCAGACACAGGAGGACACACCTCAGATCCTGTCTTGGGCTGAATTTCTTCCTGGGGTTTGTGGAAGCACGGCTTGCATGCCAAGGAAGGAACGAGGGAAAACAGCAGTACGTGTTGGGCTCTTCTCTGTGGAGCAGATTGCCCCTTTTATGTCAAAAAAGCATTGCTATGATTCAGCCCCCGTGTCCGATTGCTTGGGTGGGCCCTGAGAGCTTTCCAAGGGCTGGGCAAGTTTTAGTGCCAGAGCTCTGACTCTCAATGCAAAAGCATTAAGGCACAGCTTTGTTTCCTACAGCTCTAGAGCAAATGGCCAAGATTTTGAACCATTCATAAAGGTCTCGTTGGTCTCACTCAGTTCTGCCCTCAGGTCTGCCGTGTCCAATACATGATGATTATCTTTTCTCATGCATGTTGTGTGAATCCTTTTATTTACTGTGATGTGAAGCCAGGCTTGGGAAGTTCAGTCTCTCCCCTAGCACTTGGCAGCTGACGGAAGAAGATGTTGAAATTTAGATATCAAAAAACAGTGAAAAAAGCTAATGTAACTCGTGAGATAAGGAAATTTCTGACACTTGACATTCGTATCTTAATGAGAGTGAATCCGGGGCCTTGGTCCTTTATTCCAAACTAAAAGAGAGGGGGAAGGACAGCAGCAGGGACTGCTACGCTGAGGGAAAATGCCGCAAAATCATAAGCAAGTTACAAGGTACTGGTGTAAAAAATCAGAGAAAGTGTAACTGTGTCAATAGTGGAGATTTAAGAGCTCTGTTCTCCATGTGGTTAGCTCTGGCTGGAGAAACTGGTGAAAGGAGTGGGGATCCTGATTACTTTTCTCATTTTTAAATAGTCCAAACCCGAGTACACAGATATTTCCTGGAAATAATTCAGTTATTAAAAAACAGTTTACAGGGAAACATTACTGAGTTTTTCTTCCACAGCTTAGAATAGCCTGAGTATCCTTTTCAGGACAGCCCAGGTAAGCCTTCTCTCATCTCCCTCAGACACCTGAAGTGGGAGCATCTTTTTAAGCCTCACCTCCCCTCCCTCTGTGGCCAGGGAGAAGGAGAAGCCAGGCAGGACCCATTGCTCCAAGGGGCTCTCTCTGCCCGTGATGCCAGCAGCAGGGGCTGGGACATGAGCAGGTCTGAGCCCCTCATTTTAGCCAGCTCTCAGCCGAATCCCACCTGTGGCTCAGCCATCAGCTCTTATAAACTGACTCGTGGCTCTGCTGCGATAGATGCCGGCTGAGCAGCCTGCCCTGCATCGGCATTAAAGCCGATAGCCTCTCACCGCAGCAATACCACCGTGTAGTCATTGTGTCCATGCCAAAGAGTGGCTTTATTATTTTTTTTTTTTCCAGTTGACAGCTAATTGAGGAGAGGGAGACAGGCAATAAAAATTATGTGGATGGTGAAGGAAATGAGTCTGACTCACTTCCACTCTCCCTTTCACTTTTTTAATCCTGTGCAGTGCTGCATATGACAGGAGTGGGATTATGCTGGCTGTACTGATAGCAGCCTCTGCCCCGCTCTGTAGATATTTTTATTTTCAGTCTACTTTTTCTTGTTTTGAACGTGTTTCTCTCTGTTTTCCCATTTCCCTTCAGCAACTTCTACCCAGCAGATTTAAGCCGATCCCATTTCATTCCCGTTCAGACTGCAGGCACGTTTCCTGCTTGCAGATAAATATGTTTGGAAAGGGAGAGGGAGGGAAGAATAAAGTTTTAACATCACTTTCAGCTTGGGACTTGAGCAAATGAGGGAAACCTCTGAACGTGAAAGGAGCATTTTTGCAGGGAGACTGTGGTGCCTTTCAGTGGCTGTTTTTATTTTCAGACCCCGGGTGAAGCTTGAGAGAAAAGCAGCTGACGCCGAGCTTGTGTTTACCGTCCAAAGGGTAGGAAGGGGAAATCGAAGAGGTTTCATGGCGGTAGGCAGCAGTCTGTAAACAAGGCATCCACATCACCATGTCTAAGGTCAACTTCTGTGTACAAGCAGGCGTGGGGGGGATGCTGGCAGGGCCGCAAGCTGACCTGCAAAGTGACGCGCTGCGAAGCGGTGACTGAGCCCCAGTTTCACAGGTGGGGACAGAGGGGCAATGTTCAGGGCATGAAACCGTGTGAAAGGATACTGCGGGTGTTTGCGCCGGGTTTCACGTGGCCCAGGCTTGGAGAAACACAGAGCAACAACAAGGGAGCCCTGGAAAGTGCAAGCTGATAAACAAGGCAGGGAGCTGGCTGCTGCCAGAGGTGCTGGGGTGGGTGGGTGGATGGGTGGGTGGGTGGACGTCCTTTGCAAACTGCAGAGACTTCTAAGCTGTGCTGCTATTTATCTCCACATGACCGAAGTGCACCATTTGAGGACGATAACCACGTTTTAAATATCAAAGGAAGCTTTTCAACCAGAGTCTTTTGCTTGGCTGGAGAAACTTCAATCTATTTTCTTTGGTGGTGTGTCTAAAGAATGGTCCCCTTGTTTGAAAGAGGTTGGAGCGAACCAAACGAGGACAGAAATGTAAATATTTACTGCCATCTTTTGGTCAGTGTGGGTATGACTTTAAAAGAAAAGGTCAATCCAGTTACTCAAGTTGTCATCTCCTTCAGCTTTGTCAACTCAGTCTTATTTGATCACCAAATACAGCAGCGCACCTCGAAACATTGGGTTTTGCATAGTTGTATTATCAATCTCAAACGACGAGTCTGTCTCTAATTTTCTGTCCTTAATTTGAGCAAGCTGATAGGTTTGTGAAGAAAATCTATCAGAAGTCGATGAGCACATCTGCCTTTCTCCAGGTTCACTGAGAGTTTGAGAGAGGGTTGGAATAGCTGAAGTCACCACCTGTAGCTCCTGCCGCTGGTCTGTGGTTCAAACAGAACGACAGATTGTGGACAGAAGGACAAATATTTAAGGCAAATACTGAGGTTTTGGACTGTTGGATTTTTTTTTTCCCCCAAGAAATGCAGTTTGAGTACTCTTCACTCTATTAGAATTTTCAAAAATAATGATTTCTTTAAAAATGCGTATGTTTTAGGAAGGTAGGATACGTTTCATCGTACTTCTCTGGTCCTTTCTTCTTCTGTACTGTAGTGCTCGTTTGAAATGCTGCTTATACAACTTGTCCAAATTGTGGTATGGCTTTTGTCATCCACTTGAGGTGTCCAGTTGCATTTTTAACCTCACACCTAATCAAAGTTTCAGTCCTGCAGACCATGCAGGGACAGGTTTCCTGCTGCCGTAACAGCCTGTTCCCTGAAACTGGTTTGAAATTAATAATGGTGAGGCACTCCACTGTTTCCAAAAGGCCATGTCTCATAGTGAAAGGAGACTTTTTTTAATGCAAGGAGTTTGGTTATTAGGGCTTTCTTAAAGGGTAAAATTTTTATGTGGGATTCATCAATACTGCTGATCTCAGTAACATCACAGCCTGATCCTTACTAGCTGGACCTCTCAAATGTGCCACAAGGGAGTGTTAAAAACTTGCTCGTTGTAACACTTTCTGTGTTGTTTATTTAAGGGGTGGGAGCATTGCTAATAGTCCTTCTGCTTCAGTGTTCAGCTTGCACTCAGCAAGCAAAATATGACTCTTTGTCCGCTTTTGTCTCACATTTGTTCATTTTAGGTGAAACTTCCTTTTCCTGTTGATCAAATCACAGATCTTCCAAGGAATGATTTCCAGATGATGATAAAGATGCACAAGCTAACCTCAGAGCAGCTCGAGTTCATCCACGATGTTCGCCGGCGCAGCAAGAACCGAATTGCAGCTCAGCGCTGCCGCAAGAGAAAACTGGACTGTATTCAGAACCTCGAATGTGAAATCCGCAAGTTGGTGAGTGGCACGCGCTCACTGCAGCACCCTGCACCCTCACCCTGCACCGTGCAGGGTACCGACAGCTGTTCCCACCCAGAGTTTAGTTGGTTCAGTCAGTGTGTAAGGTTGTGTGCAAGTAAGTGAAGCCGCTAGCACAACAATTTAATATAGAAAATTTTGTTAGGATGTATGTATATTATAGTACATATGGAAAACACAAAACACTGGTGAAATTAGACCTAAATATATACATGCATTTTATATATCTCAAAAGTAGGTTGTTGATTGAGTTGGAAGGGGAGAGAAGTCTGTATCACAGCTCCCTTCTTGCAGTTTCACTTACCCTCAGTACTTACAGTGCATCCACAGAGGCATTTCCTCGTCCGAGCCCCACATTCATGCTTCATCGTCTTAGCAAGCGTATTGGACAAGGGTTAGGGTGTGGAGGGACCACAGCGCTGTACACGCATGTAGAGTTTTAGTGTAAGAAGGCGAGGTGACTGGGACAACACTAAATGGCTGCTCAGGAAATTCCTCTCTCTCTCAGTCATGGCGTGGATGCCTCGGGTGTGGTTTAGGAGGCTAAACACAGGTGCCTGCCCTACAGACACCCACGCTGGAGTTAGTTGTCCTGTTTTCCTTTATCATCGGTGAAGGGAAATAGATACCTGTCAAGTCTGTTTTGTCTCATCCTGCATCAGAGGAGGTGAGGTGCAGCCCAGAAGTGACTTTTTCTATCCATGACTCAACAAGATCACCTGGAGAGCTATGTCAGATACAGACGTTTCAGCTGTAGGAGCCTTAACGAAAAAAACTCCTGTCCATTTTGACAGTGCGCCTGTGGGCTGCTTTTCTTCCCTTGCCCTTCTGCCCATTGAGAAAGCAAGCAGATACAGGACAAAAATAAAAAGATTAAGACAAGATCAGGGAGGAAGATACGTCTACAGGGTATCACTCAGTGGGAGGAATGCAACATTAACTTCAAAATGGGTTAGCACCTTCTGATCGGCTTAAAAGTCCTAAAAGCTCTCTGAGATGTCAAAAGCAGGGTAAGAGTCTCAGCTGAGCCATTATGAGAAGCAGCGTGTGTAGCATGAAGGACCGGACAGTTTGATTTCATTTTGCAGCAGAGATTTAGAAGTCCGACATTAAACTTTGAATATCCAAGGCTTTGAGTGCTAAATGAATTCATTCACATAAATAAAACAAAAGGAGCTGAAGCTGATTTCCCTTCAGAGTTCCCTGTGTACCCAGTTTCCATTAAAATTAAAGGTTATTTAGTGTTTTTGGTTTAAATGCCTGTGCGCACATTCGAAATATGCTCAGCTGTAGGTTGAACTCAGGGGGTCTGGGAAATCGGGTGCTTCTTGTTCTGATGGTAACAGGTTGCGTGCTGAAGGTGGCCTTTAGCGTACTCCATTCTCTGCACAAGCTGTAGCAAGCGTGGTGTGAAAGAGGCAGGGATCTGTTGGAGGAAGCTGAGTTATCGCCACCCTACAAATGGCACAAAGCCGCAGTGCTTTGGGTTAGTCACTTACTGCCTGAGCGTGCCTGCTTCCCATCTGTAAGACGGAGGTGCCACTGACCCTACAAGCTGGTGGGGAGGCTTAAATCATCAAGGCTGGTGAAGCCTTCAAATGCCACGCTGCTGAAGCCCTGGCGGGGGAAAAAAAAAGTAAAAATGTTTTTATAAGAGTAGAGCTTGACTGGTACAAAACAAACAAAACATCAAAGATAAACAAAATACTGAGCAACCGCTTCCTTCACCGAGCGTAATCCACGGTGCACGCGGATGAGTCAGAGGTTCTGCAGGGCGAGAAGGAGGTGAGCAATCTAGGTTGTCAGGAGAGGCAGGCTCCCTCTCCGCTGCACACACTCGTCCCTCCACGCCGAGCTGGTGGTGGAGAGGGGTCCACGACTCTAGCAGTGAGCACCTGGGGCGGTGCTGTAAGGGCTGGACTAGCACCAAGGGCGGCTTGGGTTTGATGCCTGTAGCCTTCACTTGGAAATTAATTCGGGTTCATTGGGGTTTATGCAAACTTTGAAATATTTATTTAGCAAACTGTACTCAGGCCAGGTAGCAGATGGGTTCGGGTGCATCATTTTGAAAAAGATCCATCACAACAAAGACAATCATGAGGTGTGCAAAGTGGCAAAAGTAAACAAACTCGTGCAACCTTATTATTGCCTCTCCAGCACTCCCGTCCTCTCCCTATACACCTGCAGTCCGAGCAAATTGTCTGCTTTGAGACCATACTTTTAGGAAAACCAGCAGTGAAACTCCAATTGACTTGACACAATACGTGGTCACTGGAAATTCTTTTGTCATCTTCTGTCCGCTTTGTGACCGGTAATTTCCAGCCTCCTTAATTAGGTAGTGATACTAGGGTTTGAGGGGTTTTCACTTGGCTGCTGTTTTGTTTTGTGTTGTTTTTCTTTTTGTTTTTAAATGAAAGACCCTTTCTTCCCACTGCATATACTTCCTGTAAGTCACCCATCTCCTTGACACAGATGGTTTCGCAGCAGACAGTGAGTGACATGGTTGCATCTTCTGAGTTTGATAGGTAGGGTTTTTTTTTCCTGCTTTCCTTCGCTCATCCATTTACCAGCTCACTTTTTTTTTTCCCCTGCAAACTCACAGCATATTCTCTTCCATAATTCATTATCTCAAGATGTACTTGAGCATCTGTTTATTTTTTTATTATTTTTATGTTTTCTTGATAGATTTATCAATATTTTAGCAGTTGGTTCTTTTCATGTACACTGCTCTCATTCTCATTCTCACAGCTGCACGCTTCCAGTGTGGGCTTTGGACTCCGTGTAATATTATCAGCTGTAGCAAGCACCCGTAGCTGGATTATCAGAGCGAGGGGGTTTCACACCTCAGATGCCGAGGCAGCTTGGGTTTAGCAGTGTTAGTAGGTGGGGTGCACAGTGGGCTGCTGTCAGGGCCAGCTGAGCGCTGGAAATAGCTCTTGTACTCCTCAAAATCTGGTCTACTCCCTTGAGCTGTGTGCCTGCCTTCCTGGGTGGTGGGACTGCACTGCAGCTGGACCATCCCTGTTGTTCTGCACTGGGTCAACATCAGTTTTTAGTGGTGTATCCCCAGGTTGTAGAGCCTGACCCCTCCTCATTTGCCTCCCAAGCATGTGAATTAGAAAGAATCAGGGAATCATTAGGGTTAGAAAAGACCTCCAAGACCACCTGGTCCAACCATCACCCTACCACCAATGTCACCCACTAAACCATGTCCCTAAGCACCAGGCCCAACCTTTCCTTAAGCCTACTTTTAGGGTTTTCACACAGGTCTTTGTAAAAATATCTTGATTAGGTCCAACCCAAACCAGTAAGCACCAGGACATATGAAAACAAGCCATGGTACAGGCTGCAGAGCCCTCCCTGGCCCCGATCATCTCCTCTGAATACTGTACCTTGCAGTGGGAACGGGTGCTCAGCTGGGACATGAGCCCGACCTGACTGACTGCCCCGGCATCTAGGGGTGGTCTGCAACACATCTTCATCAACTAGACCCTGATTTCTTCTTGGTTGGCTGGATAATGGCTTTTCTCCGTCAGAGCGTTTCTGTCAGAGTTTTTTATACCATACATCCAGCAGCCGTAGTCTATTAAGGTAGCTAATTATTAAGGGAATAATTTATGACTCTATCCTCTTCCAACTCAGATGTTTTTCTCGAGCTATTTCCCAAACTGCAGTCCACACAGGCCTCACGGTGGTCAAATATCTGATGGCTTTGTGGCTTTTCCTCTACCCCGTGAAAATAACCGTGACATGTTCGAGTTCTCCTTGGGTGCTGCGGGATGCGTGCCTGGGCTGGGCTGCCAGCGGATGGCCCGTCACCAAACTAAAGTTCCTTCTTTCTTTTCCAGGTGTGTGAGAAAGAGAAACTGCTCTCCGAAAGGAACCAGCTGAAAGCAAGCATGGGAGAATTGCTAGACAACTTCTCGTGTCTTTCCCAGGAGGTGTGCAGAGACATGCAGAGCCCGGAACAGATCCAAGCCCTCCACCGATACTGCCCCGTTCTCAGGCCCATGGATCTGCAGACAGCCCCCACCATCAGCCCCTCCCCGGCCGGCGTGGAGCAGAGCCTGGTGCCGTCGCAGTGCGTCGGGGAGAGCATGCAGTGCTGCTCGGAGCAAGGCTCGGTGCAGCTGGGAGCTCCCTGGCTGCCCAACAACGTCTCGGAGAATTGCTCGGCCGGCGGCGGGGGGTTGGATGGAGCTGAGCCAGGTACTTACCCCGAGAGAGAGCTTCCGCGAGAGCAGAGTAGCCAAACGGTCACGGTAGACTTCTGTCAGGAAATGACTGATAAATGTACAACAGATGAACAGCCTAGGAAAGATTACACCTAGTGACTTGTAACCTTAACGTTACACCTGGTCAGGTGTTCTTCAGTCAGCCGGTGGCAGTGTTCATTTGTTGTCTAGAAGAACGTATTTGGTGCACACTACAGTGGTCTTAGCAGCAATACTGTTTTTAAGTATTCCCTCCTCTCTACAAGCAGGAGTTATCTTCACAATGGTGCTATCCCTTGCTCAGGCAGGGAACTAAACAGTGGCAACACTGTCTGTTTTTGTATGTTGATTTCAATCTTAACAGGGATGGACATAACACCTCTGAGGACCCAACCGCAGCTTTTTTCTCAGTGGCCCATGTCACAAAACCCTAACTCAGGAATTTCCTCTGAATGTTCAATTTTTCATTGAAGACAGCTTCTTTACACATCAAAGTTTTATAGCTAAACTGTACATATTATATATAATATATATAAAATATATATATCCATATGCAAAAGTCCCTGCATGCCTCAATTTTTCTCATCCTACAAACTGGAAGCTTTCATTTACATTGTATAAACAAGTTCCAACATTCCTTTTTGTCTTCGATGCTAGAACTAGTTTGGTAACTTGTTACACGATTTTTTTTTTCTCGGTTCTCAGTTCAGCAATATCATTCAATTTGTACTTATTTATAAAATTTTAATGTTGGAAGCTTATTTGAGATTTTATTATAGACAATTTTTTTGGCACAGCCATTTCGTGCCACTTGAGCAATGTGGATTTATTTTATTTTCTTGCAGATACTGTACAGTAATGGTCAACTTTGCCACTTGCACTGAGTTTCTGGTCAAACCTCTTTTCATAAATGAAGTCGTGACTTCAGTATAACTTGAGTATATGGTTTTCTTTGCTTTATGGCTTAAAGAAAATAGAAAAGTTTTAGCTAATAGACAAACACTCAGGAGCTCATTACGTAGTAAAAAACGGTCTTGCCAAATACTGAATTCACTATACAATTTGTAAAGAGAATCTGCTTGAATTATTTTTATATTCAGACTTCTTTCTGTTTCACAAACCAAGCTTAAGTGCTGTTAATGATGCTTTTGGATTCTTATAGGGTAAAGTATATTTCACTCTTTAGAGAAAAACGTATTTGACAACTGGATCTGTTCATCATACGTTCCACGAAGTAAAGTAAACGGAGATCACATCAATACACTTCGGGGGGCTTCTTTTCCAGCCCCGGTCTGCATCCTTTACTCATGGAAGCAACTGCTGCTCCGAGTAGTCCCTGTAGCCTCACCTCAGCTTTCCTCAGACATTACCTGTTTTTTCCTTCGCCAGACCCGAGCTGCAGAGGTGGGTCTGGCGAAGTCCGAGATCCTGCCTGGGTAGGAAGAGATGCAGGATCAGACCCCTAACCGTTGACTTTGGTTTCCCTACAGAAGTCGAGTTAGCACTGTATCCTCTAAGAGCAAATCACACGTCTGTCGACACCCGCTCGGGTCGCTTACCCTTCCAGGTCTTGTGTTCCAGGATCCTCTCGTCCCGCAGCGTTGCCCTCAGCACAAACCGCAGCTAAAAGAGCCCGGTCTCAAAGGAGACTGCTCAGTGAATTGGCTTAGTTGTAACTGTATTGGATTTGTATCTGAAGCGATGTTGACTCGTGTTATGACTGTGTGAGACAGCAGCTTTCCGAGCATAACAGCTGTATGTACAGTGTAGACAGAAGAACGTCCTCCTAATGCTTTTTTAATAATTATTATTACTCGAAGTGTACTGAGTTTTTCTTTTGTGGTTCTTTGCCCTGCGTGTGCCAGGTTGCGTGGCTTTCTCCTGGGCGACGACTGTCATGTGCTTTACTGGCTGATATTGTTTGTTCTTGCTGAAAAAATCGACCAGCTGTTCACACCTGTTCAAAAAAAAAAAAAAAGACGAAAAGAGTGGGGGGATAGCGGCTTCTCAGAAGCACTGGGCGATCATGTGGTCTTCTGCACTAACGTTTACACTCGAGGTGTGCGCTGGTGCTTTTTTTGAGGCACCCAGTAGATCAGCATCCTTACCTTGGAGGAGGAATCAGCTCCCTCCCTCCCCTTCTTCCATCTTCAGACTGTGCTCATGGACCGTCGCGCGCTTGCCACAAGGTCTTGCTTTTACCCTCTGCACCCACACTATTGTAGCCGAGCTACCGAGGAGGAAATGCATATAGCATGTGCCATGTTTGTTGAAAATACTTCTTTTCCCCGCATGTACAAAGAAAATCTAGTATATAATGTAGGAGAATATTTATGTTTAAGTATTAATCATTACTGTACAAAATCCTTACCTTTAGATGTTCAAAAGTATACGAATGCCATAAACTCCTAGTTCACACGGTTGAAAAAGGGGGAGGAGTCGTCCTTTCTTTTTACAAGAGCGTAAGCTAAAAAGATTTGAACCCCCCCCCCACCTCCTCCCGGCCACCTTTTGCAGGTAACTGAGTGAGAAGCTCTTGCGGGGGGATTGGGTTTTCCTTTGGATTCATTGACGTTGCAAAGCAGTTCTGTGCTTCGCAGAGAAGTTTTGTTTCTATGAGACCATGGTGAAAGCTAGAATTTTAAAACTAAATGTGAATCACATTATAGACTCATAGCTACTTGGGGGGGCTGGGGCGGAGGGAGGGGAGGGTCGACTGACACAGTATTTTAAAGATGTTTTTTCTGTTGCCTTTTTTTTTTTTTTTAATTTTTAAGTGACCTCCTATATATATCAATAGGTAGAATGTTTTATGAGCGTAAAACCAAGTTTTAACTTGCTTCCTGACATGAAGATTTACTCTACTAACAACTCATGTGCAACTGGTACTCTTGACCTCATTCCAACGGTTTATAAACCCACCCACACAACCCATTGCGCTGCAGCTCTTAGGTTTGACCTGGCTTCATACTGGTGCTGGGTCTCTTGATTTCCTCTACCTTGGGAACTGGTGTTTAAAACCACTGCTCAAATAAGTGTCTCTTCCTCAACCTTTTCTCTCCTCTCGCTCTCTTTCCCTCCCCCGTGAGCTTTTCTGGATGTTTGATTTCATTCTCGCCCATTAGAAGTGGCTGATTTTGTGTCATTGCTTCCTATATTTACATGTATCATGGTTTTTCAGTGGGTTGTTTTTTTTGGTGGTGGTGGTGGTTGTTTTTTGTTTCTATTTCGTTTTGAGTTTTTTTTTTGCTACTCTGAACCACGTGGCTCTCAAAACTGTTACCGGGCTAACTTTAAAGGAAGGCATTGGGAGAATTAGCTTCAGACCTGGACGTCAGGTAGCATCCCCAGCTGCTCTTGTCATGAGGTCAAAACAGCTGACCACAAGGACACTGTTAGAAAGAATTAAAAGAAAAGAAATAAAAAAATACTGACTGCAGTATTGATGAGTGTGAAGAGTTTGGCCAATGGTCACCGTGATCTTAAGTGGGAATCTCTTTGCATTTGTCAAAGAGGACACGTGCAGCACCTGTCCTGCCAGGCAGTGCTTGGGAAAGGTGTGACGAGCCCCCGTCTCCCTGCTGGGTGCTGCACAGCTCTTGTGGGCATGCGAGTCCCCGAAGCTTTGTCCAGGCTGTACCTAGTCCTCCTCTTCCTTTGCCATTGCTATCCTTGTATCGCCAGGAAACCTCATTTCATTTAGGCTCGTTATGCTTTGTCAGGTGAGTACTACACTATATAATGTGTTTGTTTCTCTGCGTTCTCTGGGGGTGCCTTGAACACAATTAAAGCTCATTGCAAGCTGATTCTGGAACAAAAAGGTAGTGCAAAAAAAAAAAATTAATTAAAAAAGAAAAAAAATAGAAACAGAGAGAGAGAAAACAAAACAGAAAACATGCAAAATGCAAAAGCAAAATGTTGGCTGTGTTATCAGGAGATCCCAGTATTTATATCACAAACTTCCTAACATATGATGACTCAGGCGTCAGAGTTTGATGCTGCAGTATAAAACTATTATTTTATATATTGTACAAGTAATTTATTAAATGTCTTTCTAAGGGTATATGCTGCTTTTAAGATGCACTATATTTTTGGATCTAATCCTTGTATTATTTTTTCCCAAGGAAGTAAAATGTGCTGCAAAGGCAAGCCACAGTGATTAGTATGCTAACTGCTACTTCTCTTTAAAAAGGAGAGTGGGAACTAGATAAGTAACTTTGCTAAATGGATTAACTGCTGCCAGAGAAATGATTAATGCTGATAGTGTGGTTGTTAATCTGGAGTTCAACACTTCGTCAAGTCTGTATTCTAAAGAGCGCTTAAATAGAAGTTAAAATGCCTAGATAGATAGTTAGGTTTTTTAATATGTATGTTTATGATTGCCTAAGGAAAGAAAAACAAATCTGCATGCTGGAATCACTATAATCTTGTAATAAAATAAAATCTGATCCACTAGGAGAAAGCATGATGAAGCACTGTACTGCCAGGCTCACTTGTGTCATGTAATCCACTACGGTGGTTGTTAAAGAGGAGAGGGATGGGTTTCCAGAGTAGACCTGTAGTGAATTTTGCAGTGAGACAAAGTGAACGTTTGCCAGGTTTACTCGAGCTCACGTGTTGTCCTCTGCCGTTACAACGAGGAGCACTGCTTTCACCTTTTTTTCTGATCCGAAATGCATTTGGAGGTGTCTTCGGGTGAATGTTGTGGCCCAAGTTTGCAGCGTTTTTAAAAGTCTACATTTTAGGTCTGTGTAGAGAAGGTTTAGCTTCGGTGTGAGCAGCGGAGCTGATGGCCTTGCATGCAGAGGGATCTGCTAAGTACGGGGTGGCTCATTTTTGTTGGAAGTGAGGTGAAACTAAAACCATTTCCGCAAAGAACTTGTGCTCTCTTTCCTGCTAGAAATTTCCTCAACGGGAGCTTTTACTTCATTTCAGTTTTGTCTCTGCCAACACAGTCCAAGTTAATTTTATATACCTATCTATAATACATGTATGTATGTATACATACATCTATAATTCTAGTCAGTGTGTGTTTGTGTATTTTCCTGTTTATAATACCTATGTGTATATTTATAATACTCCTTGGAGTATTTCATGACTCAGGCATCAGATCTGATGCTGCAGAATCCAATATATGTGTATATGCATATGTTCAAATACTGTGTGTATATTTAAAAGATCTATTGTTGGTGGTCTGTAGAATAATTATTCTCCTTACTCTCAAAATTTTAATGGCATTACTTGCAAGGACTAAGTGTATAGTATTTTCCTACACTCCACCAGGATAGGTGTTATTTATATCAAAGTCAAATACTGATATGCATTTTAAGGTGTTACACATACAACGTTGCCATTTTTGCAAATAAAACCACTTTTTGGCAGGAAGGAATCCTAAGAATACCTTTTTGTAAGGGAATTACCCCAGACAAACGACTGCTGAAAACCCAGTTAGATGACTCCTGTTCTCATATGAATTGTACTTGCTGTGGGACGAGCCCTTTACGGAGGCGAAACGACGCGCGCGGTGCCGCCCTTGTCCCGTTCGGCTCATTGAGGGCCCGCGGAGAGAACCTAGCATCCCAAAACAGAAATGGCAGCTGGCAGCGTTTGCTCTCACTGACTGCTTAGAAGCAGAGGTGGTCCCAGGCTACGGACCCGAACGGCCCCTGGGACTGGGGTGGCTGTCAGGGCTCGGCCCCGTAGCCAGAGGAACTGCAGCCTCCAGGGCGCGATCGCACGGGACCGAGCTGCCTCGTGTTTGCGGTATGGCTGAGAGAAGCGTGCGTGCTCTAGATCCTGTTCCCACTACTACTTGTGCTCTGACCCAAGCTATCTGGATCCCGCAGGCTGGCAGGAATTATACTAAACACTTTGGTGATATTTGATGCGTGTTTGTTTACCATTGATTTCAAGCATCGCCTTTGATTTCAAGGGTGGGGATGCCCTAAGAGTTTGTTCCAGAACCAGTTGGTTACAAGTGCACCTCTTATATATGCCTTACAAACTTCAGAGGCCATATTCAAAACAGGGTTTTATCAGTGTATGCAAGGGGGTGCAACCCCTCTTCTCTTCCTCCCCAGGTCAAACAGTATGGACAGTTTTCACACATATCTACCTGTATAACCCTCTGTACCTCTCATAACTGGTCAATGACTGTAACAGGTTACATCAGGTGTTTTTTCTACATACTTTTTACACAAATTCTATGCGATTAATGTAACTTAATTCAATGCATCATTTTATTGTACTAGTTCTTAAGCTTGTCTTTATTTTTTTTCTAGGTGACTGTGGTTTCTTGTGATTTTTATTGTATAAATAAATGAGGTGGCTGTTGATGCTTACTCTCTGTTACTAAGAATTTTTACCTTTTTGGAAGAAAGCATTGCTATGAACTAATGAATTTAAAATGTCATTTACTCATTGTAAATACAGTATTGTGCAAAAAACAAAAATGAAAAAAAAAAAAAAACACCCGACTCTCTTCATTCATTTGAATTGCTAGTGTTAACTGAATTTTGTCTAGACACCATTTCTGTTGATGAAATAAAGACATATCATTATGTATTGTAAATCGACTTCTCTCGACTCCGAACTTGATGTCTCAGGCCGTGGCAGGCGCGGGGCCGTAGCTGGGGCACGGGACGGGAGGGAGATGGGCAGGGCAGGGCAGGGCAGGGCAGATGCTGCCTGGTGAAGCTCTGGCCTGATGACGAGCCCTCTGCTCGCGCGGTCCCATTCCTAATTCATTAGTCGGCTTTGATCCGGGGATCCGGTTATCTTTGATCTGCTGCAGGAGCAGCCGAGGGTATTTCGTTGCAGAGATGAAATAAGTTGGTTTGGAAGATCAAATGCGCTGTATCTGTACCCATTCCCCCAGTGCTTGACTTTAGGCAGTTCTGCTAAGTCTTTGTTTTGGTCTTGTAAAGCATCAACGAACCGAGATGTTGGGAGGCAAGGGGAGAGGTTGGGGTTTGTTTCCCTTTTACAGAAAACCCGAGAGACATTGAAAGATATTTCTGTATAAACAACAACCAAAAAGCTGAAAATTTTTTGTGTGTAACCCAAATGTCTCTTTCTGAAGCAGGAACTTGTGCCATTGACCACTAACCTCCCTCAAACTGCAAAAAAAAAAAAAGGGGGGGTGGGCAGGCTGCCAGAAGGAGCCAGGTGTCCAGCCACCCAATGGGGAACACGGGCACGAGGTTGGGTGCCCTGGGCCAGCTGTGTCCTGTCAGCTGTGTCCTCCTCCGCCGGCAGCAATCGGTGCTGCCCCTGGATTTTCAACCTGAAAATCCTCACAGAGGAAGAGCAGAAATACCACTTTCCAGCATTTCCCAGATCTTCCTGTTGAGCACACACGAAGGAAGCTTCCCACCCATTCAGACCTGTGACGATGCAGAGCCCACTGCATCTCCTCACGGCCCGGCAGTAGAGCATGTTCTGTAGCAGAAGCACTTCTCCACCCCTGACCGGTCATTCCTGACACGAAATGGCTACCATCCTAGGCATTTCCCTTTTTTTTTTGCTTTAACACATTAAATAAATGCAGAGGCAAAGTGTCAGTGAGGCTGTAGTGACTTAAATGCAAGTCATGCACACTGGAACAAAGACGCTGCAATCTCAAGCAATCTTTATGCTTCAGTCCTTTTTTTTTTCATTTTTTTCATATTTTTTTCTCCTACTGTTCCACTTCTCTAAGAGTTGTCAAGTCAAAGAGAACTTTTATGATTAAGGAAGCTGGCAGAGCAAACAAGCTTGTTCTTGCTGTCGAAGTGACTTGAGGGAAACACAAGCTGTGAGAAACCTGACAAATTAAAGTGGCCAAGAGCGAGCAGCCAGAAACAGGCTCATGGCTAGCAGTAGCTAGCACTCTCCTTGCTGGATACACAGCTCGAAGGGCTGCTGTCCTGGGCTGCTTACAACCCAGAAATCCAACCTCCCAGAGCACATCTATCTCGGCAAACTCAAGGTGAGATTTTTTGGGTGTTGCTTGTCTTTCAATTAATCTGCATGAACGGATGAGACGGTAAGATCTTTGTGATCCTGAGCTGATGCCTTGCAGTTCTTCCTGAAGAGCAAACTGAAGAAAAGCACAGACGTTTTGCACTGAAAATTAATTGCCCGGCTTTACTTAGTTTCAATTTTGAAGCCAGAAGTACAAAGAGGCGACATGAGCACAGAAAGTCTCTAGCAGAGCTTGAGGATTACATTAGCACGGGCAGACGAGCAGCAGAATATTCTTCAGCTGGGGTTTTCTCTGTTAAATTCTCTGCCCCTTCAGACTCCTTGTGTGTTTGATCCATCTTTTATTCATTGGCTGCTGAAGCCTGGGGAGATAAAGGCCACGTAGCCTTCCAGGTTGCTTTAAAATCAAAATAAACCTTCCCTGCAGGTGTCTTGGGCTTTCCACTACCTCTCCGGTCTGTGTATCAGGCTGGTTGCTGATATGAACGCTACTCGCATGCACAACAAGTTGTACATCCCGAAATGCCCTCCCAAAGACACCGGGCTATTTCTGCCCTGACCAGCTCCAGCTCAGTGTATTTGAGAAAAATCGTGAGTTGTGGTGCAAGCTGCTCACCAACACCTGCAGTCAGCGTGCGCTGCTGCTGGAAGTGCCATAACATTGAGGAATAAAACAAGCGTTTGCTTTCTTACACTGTATTATGAATTTAGCATGATCAGGGAAGGAGGGAGAGGGAGACACCAGCAGCTAATCGGCTTTTTATCTTTCTGCTGAAGGTGGTTTGTGCTCAGTCCCCCGGTTTATCTCTTGTCCTCAGAACGCCATTACTTTTTCATGATAGATGATAGTTCTAGGAGCATGCTCTGAAAGATAACGAGAGAGAGAAAGCATGAAGCTGAACTGGCTTCAAGGGGAGAAAGAAATGTTATCATAGCGATTAACCCAGACTCCACCACGTGCACAGCTGCAAAGGTGGGAAGCTGACAGCACACTTACCTTGGCTTTGTTCAGTGCTAAGGGGAGGCTGAAGGGAGGGGAAGCACCTTGCTTTTAAACCAAATAAATTAATCCCTGAAATAATTTGCTTGAAATCGGTGACCGCCATGCTACAGCCCTTGCTTTACATGTTAAGGGTCTTGTACATCTTTCAGTTGCCTTAAAACCATACAAAGATGGGCTCAGGCGAGCTCCCCTTTCAGAAACCCAGCCTGCTTGGTGCTGCACACATCCTCAGAGAGGTTCCTTATTTGCCCACCACTGCCGATCCCCAAGGTTTGGCATTTTCCTAATTTCTGTGTTGGTGAACGGGTACCTGTAGGTGATTCAGTAGGTTTCACAGGATTACTGGCAGTCACCTTCATGAATTTTTCCTGAGTGCACCAGGACAAAATGTAACATGTAGAACTACTGTGGAGTATTTTTTAAGAGGTATTTGAGTAGGAAAGCTGTACAAAGGCCGCATCAGGTGCTAGCAGGCGAATACCTGCAAGGCATCTCGAGTACCCTAGTGGGACAACGCAGGGCTTTACCCATGCCTTGTTCCACCTGTAGGTTTTCTGGTGGGGCTCAGCTGTCAGAATAACTCTTCTGTGGCTATCAGACTTGTTATTTCGATGCACACTGACTCTTACCAAACTGTTCCCAGCCCCAGGAGCGAGAGCAGAGCGGGTGGGCAGCTAGTTAAACGAGTGGGTATTTATTCCTCAAGTGTCGTTGAAAGGCTGAGTAAACATGCCTGGTTCTGGAGAAGACGGCAGGCATTCAGGCTGAATAGCAGCTCTCTCTTTCACAGCCTTCTCGCTGCTGACAGTTTTCCCACTGGGTAAAAGGCTCAAAGCTGAACGGAGAATTGAGAAGCGGCAAAAAATCTGAACAGCACAGAGGGATGAAAAAGCAGCGTAGTGAAGGAAACCAGACCCAGTGAATAGCAAAATTTCCCCAGCTTCAGCAGAACCAGCATTTCAGCCCCAGAGACTTTTCTGCGAATGAATAAAATCAGCAGCCCTATCTGAATCTGCTTCTGTGAGCTGAGAGCATCAGCTTTATCAGCCGCTTGCTTAATTATCAGCTTTATCCCCCTCGTTCACCATGAGGAGGGGGGCCCTACTTTTAAAGTCATGTTGATTTCTTTGGAGCCAAGGACAGAGACATGAAGAAATGACACTGAAAGCACAGGACTCTACAGAGGAAAGGGTCTTAGCCCAAGAACACAACAGGACTGGTAGATATGTCATGTGTCCACACCTCCTTGGGATATCCTTGGGTGCTCTAGCAGGAGGACTGTTACTCTTTCCCAGTAGTTCCCTCAATGCAGATTTAGCTTGGGGTGCGAATGTGATGATTCAGATCCAAGTCTTCTGGAAGACTGTGCCCTTGTGGCAAGAGTTAGTAGTTTAAGGTCATTGTGTCCAATCTCAGTCAACCAAATCAAAACTCATGGGTTTCAGAGCACACCTTAGGATTTGTTAGAAAACTGTTATATGCAGGCCAAAGAAAAGATGATGCTGGACAGACATATTGCTGGGCAGGCAATAATTTTTAGTGAAGCGCTCCAACAACAAAAAGCCTAAATGCTCTGTAATTCCTGCCCTCGTTTCGGGGGAGCAAGGATTCTATCTCTAGCAGCTCTACACTGACCTTTGTCTGCCTCAGGCTGTGCTTTTTATTAGACTTTAACTGTATCATGCGGGGGCTTGATCTTGCAAAGTTGCTGTTTTTTCTTTCCTCATGATGCAAAATCCTACGAATACCAACATAGCTCCCACATGCCCTTGTGCATCTCACTCCCAGCTGTCACTTGTGAGGGTATTTGTACCAAATTCAGCACGGCCCTTTTCCCTGAACTGGGTGTGCCGAGACATTTGAGGCCCCTTTGCCCAAGGGAGACAAGGCTTGGGCCATGCAGAAGGTGCCCCTTGGTTCCATGGCTGTATCCTCCCTGGAATAAAAAAGTTAAAACAGAGCTGGAGATGCAAAACTGAGGGCAGAGCTATGTGTGTACCTGCTGCATATCTTGTTCTGGTGGTCCGTCCTCTGAACATTTTGGATCTGAAGTCTGACCAGAAATGGTTAAAGGAAAAATATTTTTTTTTTCCAATGGATCAAACTCTTGAGAATCCGTCAGCCTAATGACATTTCCAAGACTTGTGCTTCTCTCATTTTTTGCTTCCCAATTTGAATAATGGACAACCTTTGACAGTGCAATGAGCGAGAATCTGAATAGAGCATGATGAGCGATCGCTCTGGCTGTAAAACTAATCAGCTGTAAAGGAAATATTTTCCAACTTTTATGCCATAGTTGGGCGTGAAGCACAGAAATGGCTCTTTGCCTCCGCCAGTTCTGAAGAGGGGAGTTTTGAATAGCCTTAAGTGTCTGCGTTGTGGCCAAACAGTGGTTAGTCTGAATCCTACCAGGGGAAAGGCATTTCTTTTATACGTATATAGCTGGTTTGATTTCATTTCAAGTCTGAAAAGTTGAGGACTCTTCCTGCCAAACATACATTTCGTGTTCAATTTCCTATCCAGCCCTATATTCTTGCAGGTTTGCAGTGGAGGACTGAATGCATTTCCCTTAAAGTAACCTTTCCTCTGAAGAGGAAGTCCCAAGTGGAATTTCCTTGTTCTCTTTGTACAGGTTTTATTGCCCAGGTGCAACACCTCTGTGCTGCACCAGCATACACATGTATTGAAATTAGTGTCATTAAACACCTCAGAAAGACTGGTAGCAGAGTGCACTAGCCACAGCAGTGACTGAATGATATACAGAAGTGCCTTTACTTCCGAATATCTTGAGTCACTTTTAAAAATGCTAGTACCAGTCCCATGTGTAATGATCCACAAAGGCGGCATGCCAGAAAAGCGTTCCTTTCAGGAATAACGGCACTGCTTTGCAAACTGAGGATATTTCTCGGCAAGCTCTCACCTGCAAGATAGCTTCATTGTCGTTAAACATTAACAGCTGCCAAGTACCTTCTAGGACTTCTCAACAGGTGCCTTGCTCAGTACCTCCTGCACTCAGCCTTTTTAAATAGCCTTCTCGTCTGGGTATCAAAACACAGCAGATGGGCAACAGACTGGGCTCTCGGCCACCTCCCCAAATTCGAAAAAGCAAAGTGGAAAGTAATTAAATAGCACCAAAGTGGCGATTTAACATGGTTTATGCTCACTATTTATATACTGTAGAAATTATAGCTCCATGAAAAATGGAGCTCACAGGCAGTTTGGTGGGGAACAATGTGTGAGAGCATTTTCTGCTTCTCACCGCAGAAGATTTTGGGGTTTTGTGTGTTTGTTATGCTTCAAATTTAATAAAAGCATGCATTTTTAGGAAGAGAGAGGAAAAATTAAGCAGAACTGACAACTTTGAGTATTGTGTGAAGCAATCTTCTGTTTCTTACATGCTCTGTCAAAAGATATTTAAGGGCTTGCTCCTGCAAGAATTTGTAAAGAAGTTGGGGGGGGTTGTTCTCAGGGGATAAATCCCGTGATCCAGGCAGTCAGAAGTCAAATTCATTTAAAAAAATAAAAATAAAATAAAAATCTACTTGGTGCTTGAAGGCAAGCACAAGACCTTATTAACACTGAGTGTAAGCAAGTTTGGACCAGCCAAAGAACAGGAACAGCTTCTCAGAATGCTTTTCTGTAGCTGTTGGTGGTGAGATCATGATAATTTGGTGTTTTATATGCAGAGGCTTTGGTTTCCCCTCTGGGCAGCTACCCTGGGGAGCCACCCGCTGGCCAGCCTGGGGAGCCACCCCTGGAGCCGAAAGAAGCCAACCCATCGGATGGTGGTGGCCTTCTGGCTGTTCGGGCGTCAAGAAGGCCGGAGCTGACTGAGGGACAGATGGCAGCCCTGGGGTGATGCGATGAGTGAAAAGGAGACACCTTTGGTGACTTGGAGACCCTCAGGGGTGCCCTGGTGATGCTTTGCGAGTCTTTGAATCCCTCAGGGATGCTTTGGCTCTCACCACACTGGGGGACTGATGTGCTGGGGGCAGCCTTCACCCAGCACGACCCACCACGCCAGGGCCATGCCAGGAAGCCTGGAGATGCCTCCCAGACCCCCACCTCACCCTCTTCTCCCCAGGACTGATCCCCAAGAGCCTCCCGTTCACCCCAATCCCCCCATTTTCCCCAGTTGCCCACCCGCCATCTGCCCCTTGGGCAGCGGGGTGCTACTTGCCATGGACACCCGTCGTCCTGTGGCGGCGGCAGGTGGCGGGGGGCTGCCTGTTGGACTTCCCTCTTGGCTCCGCTGCCCCTCACAGCCCGACGGGGAGCCAGCCCCAGAGCTGGTGTCAGAGCCCCCTGGGGAGGCAGAGCTCCGGTTGCCGCTGCCCTCGGGGCTGGCGGGCAGCACCCTGGAGAGGAAGCTGGACTTGCGGGTGCCGGGGCAGTGCCCACTGTCGGGGGACTCGCCGCGCTCCTCCTCCACGTCCCTGCAGGCGCTCACCCGGCTGTGCTTGCGGGGCAGCCGGCGGGACATCCCTGTCCCCGTCCCCATCCCCGCTGTCCCCACCATGCCTGGCGGAGCCTCCTCGCTGCTGGAGGACACCGGTGGCCTCTGTCTGCGGTGCTGCCCCGAGCCCCCGATGGCCGAGGAGGAGGAGGGAGGTGGTGGCGGGGAGGCCGAAGGGCGAGGAGGCATCACCGAGCTGCTGGGGGGGTGGCAGGGGACGGCTTGGTCATCAGCCCGGCCCGCTGGCCTCCGCGGCCGGCCCGCCAGGGTCTTGTGGATCCTGTTGAGGCCCAGGTGGGCGATCTCGAGGATGTTGAGGAAGAGGGAGACGGCGGCGATGCTGTGCATGAAAAGCATGAAGATGGTCTTCTCCGTGGGCCGGGACACGAAGCAATCCACCGTGTTCGGGCAGGGGGGGCGGGTGCACTTGTAAAGGGGGGGCATGTGGAAGCCGTAGAGCAGATACTGACCCACCATAAAGCCCACCTCGACCACCGAGCGGGTCAGGATATGTAGCACATAGGTGCGCAGCAGGGACCCCCTCAGGGGTGCCTTGTTCACCTTCTTCTGTTCCTCCAGCTTCCGCAGCTCCCTCTCTACCCTCTTGTGTTCCTCGGGCAGGGGCTCCAGGTCCTCCAGCTGAGCCCGCAGGTGGGCTTTCCTCTTCTGCCTCTCCTTCTCTAGAGCCCTTAACCTGTAGAGCGCGTGGCCCATGTAGACTAGAGACGGAGACGAGACAAATATGATTTGCAACACCCAGTATCTGATCAAAGAGATGGGGAAGGCTTTGTCGTAGCAGATGTTGCTGCAGCCGGGCTGCTCCGTGTTGCAGATGAACTCCGACTGCTCGTCATCCCAGACGTCTTCGGCAGCCACTCCCAGCACCAGCATCCGGAATATGAACAGGATCGTGAGCCAGATCTTGCCAACGATGGTGGAGTGGATGTGGACTTCCTCAAGGATGCTGCCCAACAAGTTCCAGTCCCCCATGGTCAGAAGTTCATGTCTGAAATGCAAAAAGTGATCTTAATTTAATACACAGATGGATTTATTTTCAAAATGGTCCTTTTTTTAAATATCTTTTTTAAAATAATGATGCTTCATGTATATTCTTTTGATAGCAGGAGAGCTTAGAAATTCATCCTTATTTTCCATGTAATGGGCTGTTAAATTAATGCCGACATGATTACTAGTGAAAGATTCAGATGTGAGATTATTTTAAGCTTAAGAGAGACTGCGTTCACCTATAAGCCACAATACTTCTTAACTGTCTGCAGTTTTACAGCATTTTCTTCCCACTGGGAAAGAAGATTTTTTTCTCCCCTACTTTGCAAATCCACTGCCAACAGTAGATTAATCTACACCCACTCTATGCTTGTCTGTGGCTATGCCACAGCTTTGCGTGAAAAACAACTGGAATAATATATCAGGCTCATTACTTTCATTTCATTGACAAAGTTTTGAGACGTATCCTAAAACTGTGACCAAGAAGAATTTAATTTGGTACTCCAAGGTAGTAGCATTATTAATGCCATCCGTCCATTATTATCCTATCTACCAGCATAGCAGTCCACAAGTTTCTACCTTGGAGTCCAAAACTACAAGTACATAGCTAATTTACACATAAATGTACATGTATAAATAGTCTCAGTTCTAGGCTATCATTCTTGAAGTCAGAGTGTTTCTAGGATTTCTATCTGGAATGTTATGCTTTGTCTTGATAATAAATTTAAACATATGAAATGAATAAAGCAGGAAATATGTAATGGGGTGTTGGGAAGGTTTTTAGCTGTGAATGTGAGATGATCTTTTTAACTGCCTCTTTCCCAGAAGCAATCTGATTCATCAGCAAACTGATCTATGTTCTGCTGCAGGATGCTTGATTCCAAGCCACTTCTCTAGAAGCTGTTCAGGAGCTCCAGATATTGTGGGGAATTGAAATGTAAGGTATTTGTGTATTTATGAATACATCACACATTCTATGTAGTATTCCTGGAATTCTTCCTGCCAACATGGCAATAAAATATTGAAAGCAACTATGGTCATATTCACTTAAGGGTTCTCACTTAAATTTTGTATGCTACTGCACTTTCAGAGCTTCCCAAATTCCACTAAACTACAACCTTTTGTAAAGTGCCATTTATAAGCTTCTGAAGAGCGGCTGGCTGCAATACCTAAAATCTTCCATGATCTTGATTGATTGCAAAGCTGAGTGATATCACTGTTATCAATATATCTTGGAGGTGATTTATGATATGATCCTGCAGAGCAAGAATCTGCTTGGAGGTTGTATTTATCCACACTGCAAGTAAAGATGTTCAGTTGTAACCAACAGCACAGCTTGAAAGTGCATGTACAGAAGAGTCTGTATTACATAATTCACCTTCAGTATGATCAGTAGAGGTTTATGCAGAGCAAGATCCCAACCCAGACACTCAAGAGGACAAGTACTAGTGGGTAATCCTTGCTGACTTGTTAGGTACAGCTTTCCCTGAAAGGTGGCTGACTGACAGCAGGACACAGCGGCTGAACAAAAGAGCATTGAGCAAGATGCTAAAATGTAAGTGCAGGAAATGAGACATGTTTTAGTCCTAGAGATGAAGAGAGATCATTCTTCTAGCACTAGGAATTGTCAATGTCCATTTTGGAACAGAAAGTTAATGTCTCTCAGGGTGAGGACAAGAAGAGGAGTATAAACTGTGTCTCTATGCAAGCGTTTGTTTCTTTGTTGTTGCTATCAGTATCTAAACAACACTGTCCTTGACTTTCCTTTACAACAGCTGACAGGGCAGGATAATTATAGGAATGGTCTAACTAATTCTCTAAGTAAGCTTACTATACCAAGACACTTTCCCATAAAATCTGCACTGATAGAACCACAGTATGAATATTTACATGGTAAATGTTCTGTAATAACATAATAATAAAAATAAAAAGGTAACCTATATCCACGAAAGCCATAGTTTCAAAGATGTCAGTCAAAACTACTTCATAGCCTTCTGTTTACAATTTATCCATCTTTCCTTCCCCCACCCCGGTCTTATTTGAGCCCAGTGTAACAGAGTAATTTCAGTTTACTGTAAGAGAGTAATCTAAAATACCAGAGATATCATTATTCCTAGTCTGACAAAATACACAGTTCTAGATTGTACAGACGTGGGACATTTCTCCTTATACAATCTGACTAATCTTCATGTCTGTCCAAATATTTTTATATGACAATTTTAAGCATTAACCATTCATGCATGTAATAGTTAGAATCAGATGGAAGTTCCCCATTTCTAATGGAAGACATTTCTTAATTTCTTGTTTTTGTTACTTCTTTACTTCTTCTAAAGTTCGTTTAATAATTTTCCACAATTCAAATCACTTTTGCCTTAAATATGTGCCAATATTTCATCAGAAGTGATTTGCAGAGTTAAACCTTCTTAAATTTTATCACATGTAAACTAAAATAGCACTGGAACGGATGGTCAAAATGAAGTACGGCACTGTCTGAATTCTCCTTTCGTCCTGCAGCCATTACACTTCAAAAGTAGCAATATATACATTTGGCATCCTGAGAACGGCCAGTCTGATAACACCTGTGAACAGGCTCAATTGATCCACTGGTTATAGCTCGTATTAGGAAGTGAGTAATAACCCACAACTAAACTGCAAAAAGACCATTTTTCATCAATTTCTATCTTCACTGAAAAACTGCTTTTCTAAAAAGATTAAATATTAAGATATAAATACTCCTAGTTTTTAATTTGAATTGCTATCAGTCTGATGGGTATCTACTTGCTCAGAACTTCCCTAGGAAGATTTTTTTTTCTTCTGCTTACCTTAGGAGAAAGCCCTTGGTTATTCTTTGTTAGGGCATTGCAGAAGGAGCACGTAGCACTGCTGAATGCTGTAGAGCAGAAAATTTCTTCCGAAGTGCTAGAACATCTGTTGTGTTTTTTTTTTTTTTTCTTTTTTTTTTTTTTCTTTTTTTCAAGAGCCAAAGCATAAACGTGGTACTTGGAGCAGACTTCTCAGTTATTTGTATTTGGATGTTTAGATCATTCAATCTAAACTCTATGTGCATGGTTTCAAACCATCAGATGATGGGATGGTGCCGCTAGCCAAAATTATCATGCAATTATTTTAGTCAGTGGCATCTATCAAAGCCATTCCCTCGAGGCTCAGTCTGCACAGCAATCATTTCTAATGTCCCTATGCATTGTTATATTCACTTCTTCAAACATTGTGTCTCCACCCAGATCCTAAGTTAATTTTTATTTTGTAAGAGGGATAAATAACCACCCTTTGCAGCCCTACAGGTTCTTACATTTTCTTTACATTCCATTAGTTTCGCTTTGAATCAAAGCCAAGGGATCGATCGGTCACGTCCGATTTCATACTCTGCTGCCTGCTGAGTTAATTTGGTCTGTGGAAGACTGGTGATCTCGAAATGGAGGCAACACTAGCCCAGACTCGAGGCCTCGGTTAGAAACACCAGGCCTTCGACACAGGAACCCTGCCTCAGCTGGGTCACAGCCACCCCCAAAGGCAGATCAGAATTTGTATCTGTGAAAAAAAGTAGTAAAAAAAAAAAAAAAAAAAAAAAAAAAAAAAAGAGTTCCTAAAATAAGAATTTGTGAGAAATCTAGAGCTGAGGCTCCAATGCTAGAAATGTCTCCCCCATCAGCATGAGGCATTTGTCCTTTGCCCATGCTTGAAACCTAAGAGTAAGTTACAGCACATACACTTCAATCCTATAAGGAGCATGACTGATTCCCACTTCAGTCTCTTCCCCCTAAAGGTTTCCCACTAACCAGTGGCCAGCTCTCAAAAGACACCAGCCCCGTTTCTTGGGGATTAGCTCAGATTTCCGTAGCGGTGCATCCTTCTCTCCTGCACAGGCCGTACTCCCTGAAAGTCACATTTGAGTCCAGACCCTTTCCCTGCAGTAAATGGGGTGGCTACAGTATCTTTTCTTCAGCCTCAGTATAATGCAGATGTACCGTTTGTGTATATTTCAGATGCTTTAAGGGAGCACTTTCTACACTTTCTACTCCTGAGAGACATGTTAACAGCCATCCAAACCAGCCAGACCCCCCTGGGCCTTTCTCACCCATATGTTTCTGCTCTCACTTGTCTCTCGAGGCAATGTACTCTCACACACCTGTCACTGGTGTTTTATTTTCTTGTCTCTTCTTTCCACACTTGCTCACAAAGTCTCCAAGGCTTTATTTGGTTGCTTCAGTGGTCTCATAGATTTGACTCAGGCCTAGGTGTCCTCTTCTCCAGCTGCTTCCTCACCTGCTGGGTGCTTCTCAGGAGCACCCTCCTTAGCTCTGTTCAGTGAAGAAACTTGAAAACTGAGCAAGCATTGCATCAGCTGTGACTTACCCATCCTGTTGGGGAACTTGCTTTGCTTATCACAGCAGAAGCAGCTTGTTTGTGGGCTGGCACGTTTCTGTGCCACCTCTTCTCCCTCTCACCAGGTGACAGCAGCAGGCCAGCCTCCATCCCTCAGCCCCCCGAAAGGCATTTGCTTTTCCAGGGGGTAGGGAGGTGACAGCAGGCTGCTTTGGGACAATTTGCCATGTTTCTGCACAGTAACTGGTGTTGTTAAAGGACTGTGCATATGGGAGCTCGTTAATGGACTGTAGAATTAATTGTACGTGAAAGGGATGTGGGGCCATGATGTGGGGAAACGCGGCAAAGAACAGAAGTGCAGGTAGGCCTTTGCCTTTGGATGTGAGCAAGAATTTGTGGTGGCTGAAGAAACTTCCTTGCTATAAGCATCTGTTTTAGGTGAAAACAGCTTACTGTGTGAATGCTAACACGCAGCAGATCTTGTATGTGTGCACACGCACGAATCACTGAAGCTGAACTGTTGAACTCTCAGGCACAAACACGCCACTTGCCTGCTGCCACTTGTCAAGCTGGCAAAGCAGAAGCAGCAGGTCTGAAACTTCCAGGAGATGCAAGACAGAAGCACCACCAAGGAGACTGGTCCCCCATCGTGCTTCTGCACCTGACTATTAGAATTAGGAAAGGTAAGGGTTTGGGTGTCAGAAAGTGTGCCGAAAAGATAGGTTCCTAAAAAGTAGTTTTGGAAAGATGAGAGCCTGGAAAGAAGTTAGGAGAGTGTGGTTGGAGGAAAGATCATGGAGGTGAGAGACATGCGTGGTGACAAATGCTGGGGGATGCCTCAGGATCTTGGCCAGTGATGCCTGAGATGGGAAACTGCGAGCAGTGGTACAGCAGGAGCCAGGGCCTCCCTGCCTGGAAGTGGGGACCCAGTGAGCATAAATGCAGGAACGTGAGGTAGCCAAGTAGGGTGGAAGCTATGATCTTGTTGGTTCAGCCACGAAGCCCAGTATTCAAATCCAGAATGGAGAGTTTGCTTTGTCTTACCCATGACAGCACCTAAATCATTGGTGGCAGCTATTAAAAATAAATAAATCAACAAACCTCAAAATATACCTCAAAATATTAGGTCCAAATACACTTCTTACAGCATTGCAGCTTTTGATATGTGTGTAGGAACTGACTTTAATCTTCTTATAACACAGACTGCGTTTTCTTGTACTAATATACTGCTGTGAAATTGAGCCTAAGAAGGAGGGCGTGGAGGGAAGGTAGGTTTAGTTTTGTTTTTATATCTTACTACCCAGTTGTCACTAATGAGCAATAAATTAATCTTCTCCAAGGCAAGTCCGTTTTGCCCAACACAGAAATTCACCAGCAATGTCCATGTTTTTATCTTGACCTTTCTTCATCGTCTTTCCCCTATGCAGCTGAGGAGGGCAGTGAGAGAGTGTGGGAGGCACCTGGTGGCCAGCAGTGGTCAACCCACCACAACACTACAGGCAAAGCATAACCCCGAGTTAGAAAACCTTGGGTTCATGTAACAGTCACCTCACTTAAACTTGAATATTTTTTCCATTTTACTACAGACAAGCATTTACCAGCAGTAGACTTGTTCCTTTTGGGGCAAGTTACCTGTTACCATGCAAAATAAAGCAAGCCATTGATATCTTTCCAGCCCTCAGAACTGGCAGGTCTAAACTCAGCCTTCATGCCAGACAGTTTTAAGGACACTTATGTTCCAGTTCTTAGATTCAAACCATGGACCTCTTTATTTTAACAAGAACTATGCATCGCCCTTTCTGTTAAGGTATTCACCCGTTTTGTTTTGTGTATTATCTCTTGTGACTTAAATGGGTTTGCTTTCGGTGGCATACCACAGTATGGTTAAAATTCTGATGGCAGATGAAGTGTCAGCCACCCCAGAAAATTCATCCATCTTTCACAGAAAGCCAACTTTGCTCCTGAAACAGCTCTTGATTGATTCCATAGATTCCTCTAGGAAAGCTCAGAATTCCTTAAACCTGTTTCTTAATGTGCTTTAGCATTGCAGCCTTACTTCATGAAGACAAATTGGTAAGGATTATTCTCCAGGTGCCTTTAGAATGAAGACAATGAGTACAAAATGAGTGCAAAAGCAACATAAACAGCTATCAGTTGCTGGATTGGCAACTAAATGACTTCTCTGGAGCCCAAAGAAATGACTTTTCTCCAGTTTACAATTAACCTGTATGGATGGTTAATAGGCAACAGACTACGCCTTAGAAAGAATCCCTCAAAATTCAATACCTGATCCCCATGATTTCACCGATGATGTAGATCTGTGACTCCTCCATAAACCCTGCTTTCTGAATTGCCACGTTGGAGAATTTTCCAATACCTGTGCCAATTAGGATTTTTTAAACCAAGTCCTGTAAAAATTTGCATGTTGGCTAAAAGCAAACATATATGCCTCAATAGCGAAGTGCAGAGGGACTCTCAAAGGGCTGTCAGCTACCCTTCCATTAAAAAACCTTGGAAACAAAAGTGTCTTTGCCTTTGTGATGGTTCACTCAACAAATAAATAATGTTTTGGGGAAAAGAGAATCAGTGAAGAATGTAATTCATAAATAGAGGATGGTTTTATATAGTTGGTTAAATTGTTCAGCTTCTGATCCAGTCACGTTCCCTAAAAAATAAGCAGTCTGCAATAGGAGCAGTAATTGTATCAGAGCAGCAGCTGATTGCTTCCATGTTTATTGGCCAGGACATCAACAGAGCTACTAATTCATACAATCTAACAGAAGTCAATTTTAATGCTGCTTCACAGCATTTGTAGTTGTCAAGCCATTAGAAAACAGTTCTGGAAAATGTTTTCATTTACCTGAGGTTTCACAAATAAAACTGTAGATTTACATACAGTACTTTTTGCATATATGTACCAAAACTCTTACTGAAGAAATAAATTACAAACAATGGTACAAAAGCACTCCAAGCCAACTTTTGTTCAACAAGAACATAACTGTGGGGATTTTACAGATTTATTTTTTGCATTACTCTTACAGTAAGCAAACTATTCAGTTTATACAAAATAAACCTGGAGTTTTATATAGTTAAAAAAATCATCTTTGGCTAAACAAAGCTCTATATTTATACATATATTTATATATATATATATATATATACACACATCAGATATTTTACATGACCATGTAGGAACCTGTACAAATACTTACAGTAGACAGAACATTAAAAAAAAGTTTCATAATTTACAAAATAGGAATCCAGGTCAGAACCAAAACAGTCCCATCCCCCCCAACCTGTACAGATAGGAAAGTAAATAAACACAGACGAGGAATAAACAATTTCATAATAAAATACTGTCTGCTTTTCTGAGACAGAGAGGAAGCACTTAAGTAGTGAGGCTACTTCCCTCAGTGCCTTCGATATTGTGCACTTTTTGATCTATAAGGATATGATTAAAAAAATACTTTGTAGAGTCTGATTTTTCCACAAACATAAATGCTGCTCTGCCAGCTGACTATTCTGAGAACAAATTTGGTTAGATCTAAATCTCAAGTAAGTAAACAACTGTCACAATTTTTTGTTAAGAACAACCATGGATAGGTACAGAAATCCCCAGTGATATCACTAGGCCTTGTCCATGGAGCTTATCAAAAGCAAATGTTATAGAAGTATATGTGATGGAAGACTGCCAGAACAGGCATCATAACTTACTCAAGTAATTCCTTTTAACAGTTTCCAAAGCGCTGCCTAGAATGAGACTATACACTGTCTGGCAGCACGACAGTCGGTTCCACCGGTCATGTTTACAGTATTCCAGAGGTGTCAGTGGCAACGTCACTGATGAATTATCTGATGGTTTATTAGAGTGAAAAGTCGGTCCCGTTAGTTACTACGTCTCAGGAAGGGAGCCAAAAATCATTACGCTGAAACTGAAGAAGTGTTCATTGGGTTCTGGAAAATATAATTTAAGCCAAGTTCAGAGGCAGTGCGTTTAAGTGAGCTAATCTCAGCAGCTGCCCTGACTGAACAAAGACTACAGCAGTTCTGATCCTCAGCACTCACTAAAACCTCAAACATCAATGAATCCATAATGAAAGCATGACCTGTGCAACCCTAGAGGGGTGGAAAAAGAAAGCTTTTTAGAAATTTGGGAAAACCAGCAACATGTATATGACGTGTGTGTTTGTGCATATAGATACACAAACACACTTTCAGTATGTGCTGGTGAAACTGGAAGCATTTATAAGAGTCCTTTAGAAACAAAAAATACCACAAATTTCCAAACAATTTGTAATGATAGATACAACTGCTGTCAAAACATGTCAAATTGTCAAGCTTTTGAAATTGCCTGTTTTTACAAAAAAGTTTTTCTCCCAATTAATTACTATAAAGTAACATTTTGTGGGACTGTAAAAGTCTGTTTCTAAATTAGTAATAATATATATATATATATAAACAGAACAGAATGTTCATTATGCAGAAGACCTATGAACCTAAATTAGTTTAACTTAAACACCTTTCCCAGATGTAGTCTGGAGAAGATAAATCAGCCTTTTCCAGATCAAAAAAAAAAGAAAAAAAAATCCTTTATTTTTTTTTCTGAAAGAAAAAAATAATAATCTGCTATACAAAATTTAATGCTAAGTCTTTTTGAGTATCAGCAGAACTGCAAAGTCTTTTAAGTCTTCAAGATGGTTCTTGATAAATGAACATTCATCAGTCTATTTCACACTTTAAAAGAAACTGAAGAACTGGTCACTGCATTAATGACTGGCTTCATCGTCTCCCAGCAGCTGGGACTCATTTTATTTGACTTCAAAAACCCAAATGTTAGGAGTCTAATCTAAGCCAACTGTCTAGACTTTCTCCACTGTCAATGGAGACAGATGGGCACCCTCAAGGAGAAATTCATTCATCTCTTTCTGTTGAACAGGAGACAGTAAGAAGCGGCTTACAGAACATGCTTTAAGTTGAAGGCAAACCCTACACTCTGCTAGATGCTCCCCTTGAAACCCACTAACGAACAACCGACAAACAGTAAAGAACCACCTAACCTTACCATCAGAATCTGATTACTGAATAAGCAGCTTCTGGAATTACTGAATTGTTGGAATCAGTACCTTGACTTGTTTTAAAAGAAAAAGGCCTAACTTCTTGAAGTACCACTTCTTGTGCTTCAACATAACCGTAGCCTATCAGTCCCCAGGATTACCTACCAACTGGATTCCAAAGAACTCTCAACTTTTTAAAATCATGTTTTGATATCACCATATGCAGTACTTCTGCCAAGATAAGCAAGAGCCACCATTTCTATTTGACTGCATTTGCCTACGGAACACATTGAACCAACAGATGTCACGCCCTTGAAGTGATATTGCTCCACTTGTACGTGCACATTCTTTCTCAGCAGTTTGTTCCTGATGTTTCCTCTGCATTACTCTGTTGCTCTGACAAAACATTTCAGAGGAAACACGGACAGGGAGGTAATAATTAACAGTGCATCAGATTTACCAAACTTCGTACTCTGACTTGGATACCTCCCGCTAATCCCACCACACGAACGCAGTGGCTATGGTCCATCACTGCTGGTAACAGCTAAACCCTGCAACCACAAAGCAGTTGGATGGTATGTTTACTTGCACTTGGATTTCTTGAACAGCTTCATTAACTGCTTGAATCTTTCTGAAACCTAGCGGAGGACAAAAAAAGCACATTATTAAGGCCCTGGATTTTCATACCAAGACAGACTGATCTCACAGTGTAAGGTTAAAAAAAAAAAACAAAAAAAAAACACTTATTTTGTGCTTCTTGTTAGCTTCTATTAAGTTTTAAGGGGAGAATTTTCAGAGCACCACACCCACATTAACTGGATTTGTACTCCAAAGGATTTAGGAAGTCTTCCCGCATGCACCTTTGACATCTGAAATAGCCTCCAGGTTCATCCCAGAGGCCACTAGTGGTTTAACACACATTTCTTTCTTACCAGTGAGAGGGTTTGAAAGGCAAAAGACAAAGGCTTCAAATCAATTAGACCTGAATTTTGCTTACTCACTTAACTATAGGATTCAAATGAAAAAAAAAAAACAAACACCATTTTGTGCTACACAAAAAGCACACCTTATTGGCTATTTTCTATTGTAGAACTGTTGTTATAGGTATTTACAGCCCATGGTGGTGCAATTTGCCTCCCAAAAATTTTACAAAACTGGTCTGCAGGTGAGAATCCAACATTTCTGAAGAATGCCATAAACACACAGACATCACTGCTTTACATATGCCAACCATGCACCTCAACAATTTCTAAATCCCTCAAAGCCATGTCAAGGCTATTGGTTTCTCCAAATTACTTTTCTTTATCTTAGTGCTGCTTCAAAACCAGTGATAGGCCCCTAGCCTATCACTGAACGCAGCAGTATCAAGGTGCCAATCAAACAGATACTGATGAATCCCAGGACCATAATACTCTGTTAATGTGTATTTTTAAAAAGCGACATCTGGGAGAATCAGAGATTGATTTTTCAAGAATTCCCCAACAAAAGATATGAGGAAAAAACAACTCCAAATTAACAAAGATCTCCAGAGGTCTTTGTTCAACCGCAATCATAAAAATATCAACGTAGTTGTTATCAAGGAGAAGAATGGTAATACCTACCTGATTGGGGCTTTTGTTCAGCCTGGTGGCTAAGGAAATAAAGGTTTTACTTGATGGTCCTTTTCTCTGACATTCCAGTAAAATTTCTCGGTCGTCATTTCTACAGCAAAGATGGATTTTTAAAGTTTTAAGACAGATTTGCACATGTGCACAAACAACAAAAAAAAACAACCTACATGAATATATAAAATTCTGAATACTTCCAAACTACAGGGCATGAATTCAAATAGCAGCAATGAACTGATGGAGGACTCCCCCCTCTACTGGCACAGAACAAGAGTCAGTGTGAACAAGAAAGTGGCAGTGAGATTACGTTATCCTGTCAGGAAGGGCAGGATTATTAAAGGAGTTAGCCCCAAACCAACATGATTTAGAAGACTTTCATGCTTCTAAAGCAGAAACTTAAAGTTCAGTTGTAAGGAACTCCTGAATTTGACAGGGGCCGGAAGTTTGAGGCAGACTTGTCTCAGTTTGCATGGCAAGGCAGCACCTTTCACAAAAGGCCCATGGAAGTTCAGAGACTAAACAGAGAGATGTCTGCCCCCCGTCCGTGGCCTCATACAACAAACACACAGAGTGCATCTCCAGTTCAAATGAGAAAAACAGGACGAGGAGTCTATTCAGAAATGTGTCAATGATTTGCCGTTCGCCTTGTTTATCAGTTCAGGTATTTGTAAAATGTGTACAGACACTACTGTTACACAGTAGCTACCACGGATCTTTTGGTGAAACATGCCACATTCAATAAAATGTATTTAATTTCCTCCATTTCACAGAAAAACAAAATGGTTAGCCTAAAAAAAAAAAAAGTCTATTTAAATAGCATTGTTCAAAGATGGACAAAGACTGAGACAGAGAAACCATGGTCATATCCACAAGGGAAATTTTAACAGCGTCATCCTCCCTCACTGGTTTGCATGTTAAAAAACATATTGGCTTTTATAGTCTTTTTTTTCTGAACGATTTTATTTAAAAATGCTACCTCAAAACTTACTACACGTCTGAAGTTTACTTCAGAAAAACGTCTGTCCTGAATCTTTTCAGAGCCTCTATGTATGCTGTATGTACAGCACGTGTTCCCACAGAGTATCTGGGCTGAATACTCCACGAACGGAGCACACTGCTGCAGATGGAGCAGCAGAGACCCCAAAGCAGCAAACTCTTTGCTCTCATGCCTTTTATCAATGGGGGAAATCTGCAGTCACTGTCCTTCATCCAGTCACCAGCGCTCCCAGGCCTTGCAGGAACGTCAAAGGCTTCCAGCCCTGCAGAGGCTGGGTGCAATTTTGGGGCAGGAGAGCCAAAAATTATAGACAGTACAATATAGTAAAGGTCTTGTTACTTGAGCACATCAGCTTTAAAAACAAAAGCAGAAAATACCCATGGTTTGGTAGATCTGGGTAAGTGAAGGAATTAATTATGACGTATGGAAGTCTGACTCTTTTTATGGCAAATCCGATTTAACCCACCCAAGAAATAATGAAAGATCATTCTCTTCCAAACGCTGCTACATGAAGTAAGTTCGTTTCTTAAGTTTTCCAATGGACAACAATGGTGAAACAGACCATGGTACCTTTCAATGGTACTCTAAGGGAAAAAATAATTTCCACAAAGCCATCCTGCACAGGCAGAAACTCCTATGCCGCTATTTGGAGGATACAGAGCTGAATAACTTCAGCTGTCAGCTAAATATCCTCTTTTGCCCACTTTCCAGTGTATTACATAGCTTAAAAAACAAAAGGGAAGAAGAAACAGATCAAATAGGAAATTACCTTGTCCAGGAAACTACTACTTCTCCCTTTTTTTTAATGATGTTTTTGGCATACAGACTAGGTGATGTCGCACACGAAGCCACAGGAGAAGACTCTTTGTTTTGCTGCAACTCATTGTTCTTAGCATAACATTGTTTGTGTCCCAAATTTATCTCTTCAGATTTCGTGTCACTTCCCTCACTCTCTTCACCCACTTCTTCTGTCTCTTTTCGTTGCCTTTTTGAGTTGGAATTCTCTCTGACAGCCTCCTTTTTACGTTTTTTATTACTTTTGTCATCTATACTTATCTGGGAACCCACATCAGAATTCAAAGCGGGTTTTTCTTCAAGATTACATTCGCCTGTGACAGTCTCGTTGGAAAGCTCTTCTGTTAAGTCTATGAATCCATCAGAGCACTCTTCCAGTTCTTCTTTCCTATCGCAGATTTCTGAATTTCCTGTAGGAGCTTGCTCACTCGTGTTCTCTGCAGCAGATTCCGCTACAAAACATGAAGTTTCTTTAACAGCATCGTCTGTTAAGTCTATGCACAACTCTGCACTGCATCCAACAGGAAACAAAGCTTGGGATTCAACACCTGCTTCATTTAAGTTTTCAGATACTTCCAATTTGTGTGTCTGAGACTGCTCAGAGCCTTCATTTGAGCTTTCAACGTTGCAGTTATCTGCGTTTGAAGGTTTTCTACAGGGCCCAGGCAAGCCAGGAGTTGCTTCCTTTCCAGTGCTACTGTGAGGCTCCTTTGGAGGTTGAGGCAAAGCAGGGTTTTGCTCTTGTCCAGTGCTGCCATAAGGCACATGATCCACCTTAATCAGATTGGGTTTGACAGTTTCCAGCACAGTGGCAGCTACGGCACCCTGCCTGCCCCTTTCTTTTTCACCACTTCTCACCTCTTTTTCACTCTTGGCCGAGGATGCCCGCGCCTCCTTCACTGAAGCCACCTGCTCAGAGGCTGCTGTGACGGAGGGCACCGCGCGCCTGATCTTCACGATGAAGTGATCGTTGGATTTCTCCATGATCACCGCTTGCATCGGGAGGCTGGGGCGGCACTGAAAGCCAGGAACAATCGGCCGGCTGGTCCACGATGAAGAACAACTCGACCTACTGCTTGAGTTATCAGATTCTAAGGCCAAGTGAATGTCTTGTTCCGTGGCATCCTCCTCCTCCAGAAGCGCATCCTCGCTGTAATGTGCGCTGAGGACACCCTCAGGAGTTGAGCCAGAATTACTCTCAGGCTTCAGGAAGCTCAGGTGAGCATCTGATTTCAAAGGCGACGGGATAGTCAGGGAAACAGCCAGGTCCTCGAGGAGGATCGAGGAAACAAACGATTTGCTCTTTTGTAAACTGCATTCATCTTCTTTGCATGAAGTGGCGTCTGTAGGAACCTCAAACATGCAGCTTTCATCCAGCACGTCTGGATCGACAGACATCTGAAGCCTCGTGGTTAAAGAAGGAGCTCTCATGGGTGACACAACAGGCCAGCTGATATCCTCCACCGATCGAGACTCCACAGCAGCCTCCTTCGGAGCAGCCTCTTGCACTAGCTCAGCAGCATTGCTTCGGCACTTATGGCTATCTGGAAACTGTTTTTCTGGTGTCCTGAACTCCCAGTCGTGTCTGTCAATGTTGCTACCAACATTTTTTTCCAAGAGATCAGAACCTTGCAACAAGCTTTTGAAAATCTCGCCCATCTGAGCATCACTTACAAGATTAAACGTAAGACTGGATGCTTGCTGTTCCGTGAGCAGCTCGTAACTCAGATCAGACTTGTTAGCATCTCTGGATAGCTGGAATCCTTCTTTGTCGTGTTTTACACCCTTCAAGGGAGTGACAGCGCCTTGCAAATTATTCTCTTTAGAGGGCTGCACTTTGGTTAGGGAATTCCTTGTGTTATCAATGGAGTTGAGACATTTTGTAAAGGCGGTTTTTGCTGCATCTGTTTTATTCTTCTCGTGGTGACCCTTAGCTCGGTGGTAATCCACAATGTGCTTCGAAAGGATAAATTCTTCAGGTTTTTGAGATCTGGCTTTCAGAGACTTTTTTCTAGATCTTTGTACATCATTTTTATGGCCGATTTTGTGCTTTTGTTTTCCTGTTCTTTCATGCTTCCCTTCCTCACTCTCATTCCCCACCTTTACCATGTCACACTGTTTTACAATGATTCTCTTTATCTTGTCAAATAAGTAGTCGAGCTGTTCGTCTACAAATTTCCATAACTGTTTTTTCATATCTGATACCTGTTGTTCAAAGAGACGGTCCACTATGGCATTCTTTTTAACTTGCTTAAGTTTTGCCTCTATAATATCACATATGTTCAATTTTAACGTCTCGCCCGATGTAGACATTTTGGAAAAGTTCAGGTATTTTATTAACGACGTAAAATTTATTATAGCAGATTCGATAATTCTGTGAAAATGCTGAACTGGGAAGTGTACCTTGAACTTCATGTAATTTTTCCTCATCTGCTTTCGTATAGCTCTTAGCATCTGCATGACTTCTTGCACGCTTGAAGGTTCAACTATAACTTGAACTATTTTTTCAAGACAAGTGATGCTCACTGTTTTAGTTTTCTTCATATCCTTTGAGGATCTGAAAGCCTGGTTTTTATGCCTCTCTCCGTTCTTCTTTGTACTTACTTTTACAGAAACAAATTTTCCATTATCTTCGCTGCAGCACACAGCTTTGTTCTTTTGATTCTGCGGACTGCTGGTCAAATTCCGTGTTTCAGGAGTTTTTGGTCTTGAAATTTTGGGATTTTCAGAGCTTCTTTCTGGTTTAGATTTTCCTTCATCTTCATCACTACTTATGATTTCTCCTTCTTCTATTTCATCTGAAGAGATACTCAGCTGGGACTCCATCTCTAGGTGCTCATCAGACATGCTAACTGGCTTTTGATTTTCTTTATTTACCTCCTTTGACAAATTCTTTGAGGGGCAAACAGCAACTGCGCCTTCAGGAATTAAATCTAGAAAAAGAAAACAGTTTGGTAATCACCAGCAAGAACGCAATTATAAATGGATATTTTGCGAAAAACAGGATCCTATTCTATAAAGTGACTCTGTCAGAGTTGTTAGATTGAAATCACCACTGACAACTCAGGAAGCTTCAAAGGGCAAATAAGGACTTGCCATTTCACCAGAGACACATGATCTACCTTACAAACATATCCATTGAGAAGAGAACAATCTGTAAGTTTTCATCAGTTTGGAACTTCTTTCCACTCCCTTTAACAAGTTTTATGAGCACTGCACAAGCTGAATTAACGTTGACATCATTAGGGATTAACATTTGCATACAATACTTGGTTTTCTCTGAACAGTTTCACAATGAAAACAAAATGAGCAGTATGAATACCCTGTTAGAGTCAGCATTCAGCTAACTTCTCCCCCACTGACAAAAAGATCTACTTAACCCTGCAAGTCTTCCAATGCACTAACCTACTAAACAAAAATTGAGGATCATTACATAGTAGGTGCTGTACACACGACGAATTCCTGTCGCAGTTTTTGATGCATTTAAGATTGCCAGCACCACAAAGAAGCAAAGGTTTTTGTTTGTTTGTTTAAGTTAGGAGAAAGCCTCAAGTTCAGGTTCCTGAATGACAGAAATTGGGAATAAGATATGTGAAAGGAAAAGCTGATAGTTCTGCCAAAGGTAGAACGCCTTCCTGTAAGCTTATGTCCCACCTATAAGTTTATTACTTTATATTTTTGAGATTGTTAAATATGCATTTAATAATTATTTAAAATTCAAAATGCTTTTGTTAAGAAAACTGAGCAATTGCAGTTAGCTACATACAAAGCAGCATATTACCAAAGAAGAAAAGGCAAGCTAATTGCCAGTGTACAAAAAAATCCACTGAAATGCCTATGTATTGGTTAATGAGTTTTGCAGCTAATTACAGGCTTGTGGGACACTCTAGTTAATAAAACTCCTGTGTTCAATCTCACATAGATTAGACTGCTTAACAACTTCTAACAAACATTTCATCTTTTAATGATCCTATCTGAATTTCTTCCCATAAAAAAATGAACTTGTGATTAACGCTTTCAAGCAATATTTGAAAATGTTTACACAGCTTCTACGGGCGCAAAAACGTATTTCTTTACTGCCTCCAATCCAGTCTCACAAGGATCGACACCTTCCCAAACTCATCAATGTGATGCTTTGACAAACTAAAGCACAAAATGAAGGTGGTCAAAAGGCACTATGAAATGTCCCCCTTCCTGCTCAACAGTAGAGATGGGAGTGCTGAATAGCAATGCCAAGAGAAGCCAGAACCTCCCGTCAATTCAGCAGATGCAGAACATTTGACAGGCATATTGCTAGTTAGATCACAAAGGAAACGAGGCATCTGACTTCACAGATGGAATCACTGCTCTGTGATACCATAACAAGTTGTGGACAGGACTGGCTCTGCTAATAAGCGACCCAGGGAAACGGCACAATATGAGAAATACTTTGATGTGATGTTCAACTACTCTGCTCCCACATCGCCCCAGCCAGTTCAGAGAATACAAACCACTGCATGAATGAAACCAACCACTACAGCAGCTCACACTTGAGAGAGCAGCCTTCTGAAGTACGAGGGAGAGAATTTGAGACTAACCCACACTAAGATTCACAAAACAAAGCAAAGCAAAACAAAGGTTATGACCTGAAACATAAGAAAAATGCTTTCAGTGTAGCTCTCCCATTCCTCTTCTACTAGAAAGTCAAAACTTCCAAGAAAACTTTTTACTGGTTGCAGAGCATTACAGGAAGCTTTAAGAATCACACAAGGAAAAGATTTAAATGTTGAGTTCAGCATTTTCTCTTCCTTTTTGTGCTGCCACCATATTTTATCTCTTCAACATCTTGTTTAGGAGTCAGCTCTTACTTAACAGTGTATCCTAGTGTTCTCTGATTGTTCTACTTTTTTGCCCCTGACTGTCTCACAGTTATAAAATATACCTTAAAATTCAGAGTGAAATTCACCCAAATGGAGAGTTCTCTTAGCTGACAGTCTCAGGTTCTCTTTCCAGTTTTCACACAAATAAATACTTGAAAGAATAGGATCCTAATTAACTTTTGCCTCTAAAATTTCAGAGAAATACCTGATGAGATATAGGCAGAAGTGACCACAATTAAGAAACATACATAGATGATTTTTGAGAAGTTTGTAAATGGTTGAAACTTATTTCAACCATTCAGTGTTAAGCAGTAACTCCAGTTTTGCTTGCCCTACAGTTCCACTGGCTACAACCTTGACTGTAGCGTTAATTGGTTCCATATAAACAAAAGGACCATTAGGACTTATACAGCTAAAGGAGCGACCTGTACTTCTGAGAAAGCAGTTAAAAAAAAAGTAATTTCTGCTTTCCATGAATGCCTCTTTTAAGGCTTTATGGCCAAAACAAATTAGAGCACGTATGTGTGAATACCTTTGTTATAACTCTTCCCGAGACCTTTGCAGGGACTCTCCATCCTAAGTGCTTTTGCCAGAGGGCGCATCGGGCTGTTGAGCGGGCTGATAGCTTTCGGAATGTACCTCAAGTGATTGAGATCGATGCTCAGTATTGAACTGTCATCATCAACGGGTACCGGGTTGGTTTCTCTCTCTTTAGTTCTAGGGTGCGCCTCACTGCTAAGAGATGTTGTTGGACTGATTTCAGTGAAGCCTGGCCCCAGAGCACAGGGATTCTGGTCGAGCAATGGTGCATCTGGATCAGTTCCTGCAGTTCTGTCAGGTGACTGAGACGTGCTCATGCTCATTTCACAGACAGTCTTCTCCTCAACAGGAGGCTCCAGATTTTCTGCAGCCAAGTGATCACCATCCTTCACTACTTCCATTAAAGAGTCTGTTTTTGTTTCACTGATGTCACCTGCAGCCTCCTCACAGGACTCCAAGTCACCAGAACTTTGGGCTTCCAAGTCCCCTAAGCCAAGGTTTTGAGAGCCATGGTGGTCTGCTGAGTTTTCCATGTCAGCAGCTAGCCATGTTTTATCTTCCTCTTCTTTCTCTGTTGCTGACTCAGGAAGGGCTCCCGGACTTTCACTGCCCGGTTTGGACTGCGCCACTTCTGCTGCTGGCACGTTATCATCCTGCATCACCTCCACTGCCACGGGCAAGTTCTCACATGGTGCCACGCTCCCTGCCACCTCCAGGGAGGGAGCTTCAGGGTGATCCAGATCCATCACGGCCACTGCTGAGGCTTCTGATTCAACCGGACCACAAGCCTCTGCTGCTGCTGACAAGGTTTCAGCCAGCATCTCCTCAGGAACCAGGACTTCTGCTGCTCCTGGCAAGGCCGGGGACTCTATCTGGCTCGCTACCAGTTCTGGTGAGGTTTCTGAGCTCACTTCATCAGTTGTCACTGCTGGCGGTGCTTCAGGCTGTGCTGGATCTGCTGCTGCTCCTTTCAAGGCTTCATTTTCAGAACTGACAGAAGCAGGCACTGCTGGTTCCACGCTGATTTCAGCTGTGCTGTCCTGAACTTGTAGTGTTGAATTAGCCTGCTCTGCAGGAGCACAGTTAACAGGGTGGGCAGTGTCTACCATTTCTGCCTGCAGAGTGAGCTCTGCAGTTCCCTCATCTGTGGCCTTTTGGGAAGATGTTTTAAGTCCATCAGGTGGAGAAAGGCATTGTTTTTTTGCAGGCGACAGAGTTAAATTCAGCTTTTCCATAAAGCTAAGTTTTAAGTCCTTGCTTTTTGTCACAGTGTGATCTTTAGTTTTGGAAAATTTATGGTCTTTTAAACCATCTGCTACTCTTGATGTTTCTTCTGACTTAGAGGACTTGTTTCGTTCACTTTTTGCAATGTCTGTACCCTTCCTGAATTCCTTTGTGTACTGGTGAGAAACCTCTTTTGTAACTTTTCTTTCATTCCTAGAATGCCGATTTTCATCCTGATTGTCCCTCTCTCTTTTCCTTTTTTCTTCGGTTCTGTGCTTCTCCGATTTGGAATGTGCTGTTTCCCATTCATACCTGCTACTGTTTTCCTTGAAGCGTGCATGTTTATGCTCTCTGCTGCTGGAATTAGAAGGTGAGGACCTCCCTTCTCGAAAGCTGTGATCATTTGCTCCTCTGTCCCTCTTGCAGTCAGTGTCTCTTCCTTTTCTAGACTCCTCCACGCGACATTTACGTGATTCATGAAGAGTCTTTGAATGTTCACTCTTTGAGTGTGGACTGCTCCCTCTACCAGACCTTCTTGTCTGCTCCTGCAGCTTCTCATTTAGTTTAATTTTTTGGCCAGAGGTTTTTTCGTCTTTATCATGTGTTTTAATGTCTTTTTTAATCGCATTTGGTGATCTCTCATCTGCATACAATTCTCTTGTTAGACATCTGTCTTTACCAGTAGCTTGTTTCTCCCAAGAAGAAACGCCCCTTTCTATTCTTCTTTCTACAGCTGGGCTGCTTTTGAGTTTTATGCTCTGACTTTTTTGTTGCAACTCATTTTTACTAACCTTCTCCGGAAGGGTCTGCAGCTTTTGATGAGGATCTGAATTCCCCTCTTCACTTTCAACACCGTTAGAGTTACCACTGTTACCAGTGCTCTGATGTACTTCTCTTCTGTACTTGGTGACAGTTCCCCTACTGTATTGCTCATCACTTTTCATTTCTTTTTTCTCCTTTCTGTTATCCTTGTTGCAACTATGGTCATGGTTTGGTAGACATAAATGAGCACCATCGCCGCAGAGCTCTTCAGGAGGGTATCTCAGTACGTACGGAGTGTTTCTTTTTTCAGAGCTAAACTTCCCGTTGTCCCCATTGTGAGATGAGTAACTGTGGTACATATCCTTTGAGCAGTCATTTTTCACTCTATGTTCCGTCTTTACGTTGTCACCTAAGTCAGAAGGTCTGAATTTGGATTCTTTAGCTTTACACATCTCCAAACACCGTCCGTTGGTTGATCCAGGAAGATATGCTCTGGTGAAGCTACTTCGATGATTGGGAAATTCCGATAGCCTGTTTATACAAAGAAAAAGCACACCTCACGTTAGTTTTGAAATGTATTTAAAAATAACTAAAACCAAATTACAATGGCCAAAAGCCAAATTACAGTATCTCTCTACAAGCTTGTCATCCTTTCTTCCAGCTCCAAGTTGAAGAAAACATGGGATAAAAGGGAAGTTAAATAATTTCTACTAATACACAGTAAAATAATATAATTTGTACACATATACCCCAAATGATATTTGTGTAAGGAAAAAGCAAGATCTGTGGAAAAATACTGTATTAGGTCTAATCAACGCTTTTAATATTTTAAATTAATATTTCACTATCCAGCAAGAAAAAGAGTCTTTTGTTAGGAAAAAGTTGTTCTTTACATACCCATGGTTTGCAGTATCAGTGATTAAAAACAAAAAAAGAGCAATTCAATAGTTTACTACTCTGCAGACTGGCAGCCCAAAGAATGCGCACACAACCGTGCTTACTCTACCCACCAAGAAAACAAACTACTGAGGTTGAAACTTGCTGCAAGCTATGGGAAGCAAGTAGTAAACTACAATAATCAAGCCTCATCAAGGCCACGTGCTACTGCTGCAAGGTCATCGTAAGAAAAAAATACAAAATTAAAAAGGCACACGTAATCTGTATAGCCTGAACTCTTACTCACTACTGCAAGTACTCATTAAAGTTACCTCACCAGAACAAAAAACGAGACATTCCTGCCAGGTTCAACAAACTGCTTCGTAACAAGGACATGATTAAAGGCAGTGGTGACTTTCTTAAACACCTTCTACTATTCTCAGAAGAATCGTAGACTGTGCCTAATCCATGCAGAAGCAAACAGAAGTGATACCAATAAATGATGGCAGCAAACCACCTTTTAATTTAGTCAAGCATAACGTAGCAGTGTCCAATTGTAAGAAAGCAGTTCTTTACCTCCACTACATAATAGTATTGGTTTTGCTTTTTAAAACAGCACACTCCTTTTGGAATGGAACAGTAAATTTCAATGTGTAACAATCAGCTTATACAACCGGCTATATTCCAAAATTGTGCAATTACGTGATGAGAACTGAGCTTCACATTGAATAACGCTGCTCCTGTTGTAATCCAAAGCCCTTTCCTATATTTTTGTTTAATTTTTAACTGTACTGTCAAGATTTTGCCACTACATCTGTATTCATGAGCACTGAATGTAATTGTATAGAATCTTTTTTTTGAGACAAACACTAACAATTTTCCTGAAAGATACCATCTTTGAAGCAGCCTTCACAGACAGGCTGCTGAAAGTGAGCTAATTTATTACAGACCACGCAACAGGCAAGGCGTATGTCTAAGACCTCCATGTGCCACTGTCCTCATTATTTTCCACGACAGATGCCTCCAAAATAGCTAGGTCAAGTATCTCATTTAAGAGTTTTCACCACCATCAGAAAGTACTGCAACAGAGTCTGAAAAATCTTTAGTGACAGTGAGTATTCATAAAAAGAATATACTTTAAAAAATGTAATTTGGAACACTAAATACTATGCTCAAGGTGTGAAAGTGATGGTTACTGTTTCACAACCAATCAACCGAAAGAATCACATAAGGTAAAATCTCTTGGCTTCAATCTGGTAACTTCTCATTTTATTGATTTGGAAAAAAAATGGCACAGTTAACACACATACAGCCTCTAGGCAGGATATTAGCAAATAAACCTTCTTTTTTATGACACTTTTGGTGCAAGGAAGTGTCAAACTGAAACAGAAACAAACTGATGATGTGGCTGACATCACACAAGTGACAAGCAGGTGACCTTGCAATAAGCTAGGGGTCCTAAATTGTGGACTATTACTGTGGTTTCAAGCAGTCTAAAAACCTTACACTTAATTACTGCATACTTAAATATTTCCAAACCTTCCTTACAGTAAGATTAGTAATACATAGAAATAACCAAAACCCCAAAAATCCTCTAGCTGCTGTCCTCCACCACTGGGAAAGAGGATTTTCACATTTTGCTTTAAAAACATTATATAGTTTCCTTATGTCTGTTCATTGACTATTTGAGAAATTTCAAGGAATTCATCTGTCTGTGACTATAAAATAGAGCAGTTCCAAAGCTGAACCATGCAAAATATCCACTTTGAAACATGCAAGGTTGTTAGATAACCCAAACACGAATGGGTGATTAAACAAATCAAAGTAACAAAAAAAAAAAAAAAAGAAGTGACTGACACGGCAGTCACCCTTTGCATTCCTCCTTGTTTTTTCAATCAGAAACTAAAGATCTCACCAAGCAAAAAAAATACCTGCTTTCTCAGACACACTATTGCAAAACTACTGTTATTTACTAGCTAATGATTTTACTTAGAATACACACAAAGTTTGTAAGAAGTATATCAAGGTGATCACACAAAAAGCATGTTTGAAGTTCCACTGAAGTTCCTAGCTGTACCTTTGATGGAGATTACTGATTTCTTCATCCTTACGGTTAATTTCCACTCTTGCTGTTTTGATAAGTGCTGAAATATTCTTCTTAAGAGCTTGGTTCTCATTCTGTAGAATGATGTTCTGTTTTTTAAATAAATACAAAAAGAAAGTGAGAGGGGTAGGGAAAGAAGTAAAGAGAGAAAATGAGAATTAATTTAGGAATCCAAATACATGACAAAACAGTGCAAGATAATTGTTAGAAAAAGTCTTATCATATGTACACTGACAAGAGAACATTAAAAAAAATGTTTGGAGTAGTCAGAATTACTGAGATTCAAAGGATTTTTTTAATTATTATTACTTTTTAAACATCACTCATATTTCTGCTCCCATTTATGTTCCAGGTAGTTACTTAGAGAAAAAAAACAAAACAAAACAACAACAAAAAAAAAAAACCTGCAATGCTCCCTTTTGCTTCATTCTTTTACTCAATTTATTGCTTTCATGGTCACTGCATCGAATGACAGATGTAGCTTTTAACAGCTTTCAAGAGATTGAGGGAGGGTATCAAACACAACTTTGGGTGCTCTATCGTTTTCATATTTCTAGACACTTTGCTCCAGAAGCCTGTCTGTCAATTCCAGAGACAGCCCTTCTTTTAATAACTGTCCTCAGCAAAGCCAGCTCAGAGCAGCAAACAGATTTTGCAGGAAACAATACAGAAGTGCCATAGAGCAGAAACTGCTTACTATTTCAAAGCATAGAATATTTGGGACTTATCTGTAACACACAGTAGAGCACGTAGCAGAATTGCCCAAGGTAATCGAATTATATGGGATGGCACAGCACAGGGACACCAGCTCAAGCTGAAGTTAAGTTCAGCCTTATCAAAATGGCACTCTGCTGAACGCAGACATCCTCTGCCAGTTCTAATGACAGCTCGGGTTCCTTGCAACCTGCTTCCTTACTGCATTACAGACAGATTTTTATCAACCAGAAAACCATGGATTTTTCTGATAAACAGTTATTTAACATGCTTATTTTTTAATTAAGGAGACAAGGTAACTTTTTAAGCAATTCAAGTCTTACTGCATGCAACTCTGTAAAACAAGTCAAGTTACCTGGTGATTTTGTCACACGATATCCTAACAACTCTCCTGGCACCTACAGAGCTGTTTTACAATCCATCCGTGTAATGAATTAATTCTAGAGAGAATATGAAATGAACTCTCTCTTTCTAAGCAATATTCAGTTTGCTTTACATAAATCTTAACAATGTTGCCCTTTGAATTACAGTACCTGTGCCTGTATTTCCTTAAATTTCTTCATCAACTCTTTAATTTGCTGCTGACATTTTCCATACTCTGCCTGCAACTGTCAAAGAGAGAAGAATTCACAACACAGAAGTGGACTTAATCACATAAAAAAGCGATTCCTCTAGACTTACTATTTGCTAACAGCAATTTATGTTACAAAGCTCTGTTTTTCCAAAAATAAATTTCCAAAGCCATATTAAAACAAAAAGCTTCAATACACTCCAACAGGCATAAAATTCACTAAAACGTCACAGACATTCAGATAAGAGGGAACCTGTATATGCTTGCCCAACACTCAGGCTAGAGAGTAACAGGAAGTCAAAGTATTGTGAAATTAAAGACAAGATTATTGGGAAGCAGGAACTCTCTGAGCCCTACAGATGGGAACGTGTTTGTCAGATTATCTATAATACAAAATAGGTAAGGAAAAATATGACACAGAGTTAACTAAAAAACAGACTGCCAAGGACACACTCTTGTCGAGATCACAACATTAAGTAAAAAGCATTTAGTGTGAGCCCTTCTTTAAAATTAGATAGCAATAAAATTTTCACACAAGAAGTGACGACTTCCTTCTTTGCTGTTTTTGACAGTCAATTGTTTTCAAACTTTTCAAGTGGCATTTTCATCATTTAGCAGCTTACTGGATGTTTTGCTCCTGCTTCTCCTCTAGTGTGCATCTGTGGACTCTTTTCCCTTTTACTCTGAATCTTGAGTTTATAGTTAAGATGTGTCTTATTGACCAGGATGCATGATGCTGCATGAGCAAGCGTTCTGCTCATTTGCTAGAAGCAGTTATCTACTGCATAGTCGTCTTCAGTCTTGAGTACACAAGTTCGATTCATGCCCTATTTGCATTAGGCTGCTAAAATTTCTTGGGTGAAACATCAAGACCAGCCTTGTATCAGAAGGCTGAACAAACATTTACTTAGGAAGAAACCCTGGTAAATTTCTCTGTCACATAACTGATACAACTTGCATGCAAAAGGATGCTAAATGAGGACAGACCATGCCACAGAGACAGCGAAAGATTTACTGATTCTGATAAACTTGCTGACAACAGCTTTATGAACAAACTCTTGGTTTTATTCCTTTACTTAAAAGCAGTATCCCTGTTTTCCCCATAATGCGAGCATACTGACAAACATTTTTGCAAGTTAAAAATGAAAATTGGGAAAAAAAAAACAGAAACACTAAAATTTTTTGTCATATTAATACCCACCTCATTGTAAGATGCTTCCTTTGCAGTTCCTTCTTCAATCAAGATCTCATCAAACAAGTTTAAACTGTTTCCAGCTGGTGTAGAATTTGGAGCAGAGTTGTCTGTAGAAAGAAAAATAAATTACACAAAAGAATTTTCCCAGCTAGACTGCACTGTGTCACCAAGGAGAAGACGTGACATTATTATCTGAAGAAACTCCCATCCTGAATTTCAGCATTTCTGTTAGTTTTATCGGAATTATGTGATCCAATTTACATCAACATAAGAAGTAATGACGAAAATTAAAGTTTGACTGAAACCACCGTGTTAGAACAATTACAGATTTACAGAATACCCAACAACAAAGATGGGTGCATTTTGTGACTCACTGATAAGTTGTTTTGAGTCAAAGGAGAGCTTCCTCGCAGTAAAACTACCTCATTTACACAGCATGAAGGGCTACACCTAAGCAGTGATGCAAGGTTCCACAATTCTAGAGCTACCACGTAGCAGAAAGCTAGAATAAATATGTACATCCTACAAGTTGTTCAGCTTTTGGCCAGACTTGTCTTTGAAATATTTGCAGTTGAAAAGCATTTTTGAGAAAAAGAAAACTCAGTTACCAACAACCTACACATTCACAAACACAAATTAGTTGTTCAGAATAAAATGGGAGGAAGAAAGGAAAAGAGCTACTGTGGAGTTGGTGTGGGGTTGAATACCATGCTGCTTCTGCTGAATAAATGTTCTGTGCTGCTTTATGGTCCCTCACAATGTAAATTCCTTGTTTTAGCTCCAAAGACATTAAAAGAAAAACAAAAAATACACCCAAATTATTTAGATGACAGTGCTCTTTCCTCAGTGAGCCTGTGTGCTCTGTTCTCCTAGCACACATTACTGACAGGACCTGATTTACAACACCTCTGAAACATGGGTGAATTTACAGCCAAATTAACGAAGTAAGCTATCAAACCTGCGCTTCAATCTTTGGATGATACTGTAATGCAAGAAGTATTAACGCAGTGCAAGAAGATGTGCAAACATGACGTGCTGTCATGTAGCAAAAATCTCACCCATCTTCTTTTTAAATTAAAAAAAAAAAATCCCTCAGAACTAGACTGTATCAAATAATTTGTACCGTGGGAAATGTCTGCGTTTTGTTACCTCACTGCTCCCTGCACCTTTTATTTTTACACAACAATGTATTTCAGTACCTGAAATATGGACTTATGCATCTTAAACGTGCTAACAAATATAAAATGGAAACTGATGTACAGATGCTTTATGGCTACAGGATGCAGTATAGTCCTTCCATAAGAATTAAAGGAACTCACATAATAAGGTCATCAGAGAAACACTTGTTCAAATACTAGAAACTGCATTTAATTAAACTGGACTTTAAGAGTTGTGAAAAAGAACACGTTATGGGCCCATTTCTTTCTTACCTTAAATGAAATTATGGTGACACATAAAAGAGGAAAACAACCTACATTAGCACGTGAAATTACTGAGAATGTAGCAAAAGATCAAAAGGACCTACTGAACGTACTCTATCACACAGAAAAAGTATGTTTTGGAGCTCTCACTGCTGATTTAGTGATCACTGACTGTTGGCTCTGGTCCTGAAGCTATTTCAAAATCACAAAAGGAAGGTGCTTTTTCCACAGTCATGTGTCTTGTAGCGAGGCACAGAGTTGAGGTTTCTCTGCACCCTTCTGTATGCCCCAGGTCTCTTAAAATAACCAGCATCACGTGAAAACTACCCCATAATTTAGCTAAAACATTTAAGAATTCTCAGCTGTATTTACACAGAGCATAACGCGGACGTCTTCAATTTAAACAAGTAGAACTGAAGCATACGCCAGCCCAGCTAAACCTAAACCTGCTGCTAACTGCTGCCTCGCTTGAAACCAGCCTGGAAAGCACGGTGGCTGTGATTCTTGGAGCCAGCTGGCGAGATGCGCCCGTACCCACCAGGAACCGCCAAGCCGTTGTCCAAGCCATCGTAAATATCCACTGAGCTCTCATCGCCTTCCTTAAAGGGGGAAGCTTCAGCTAAGGAGAAAAAAAGATAAAAAAATAAAGAAGACAGCGTAAGCATTTAATAAATTCAGGCCTCTAACTTTGTTGAAGTTATAGCCGTGACCCTGTAAGCGCGCCAGCAGCAGTTGCTATGGAGAAAAAGGCGAAACCTCAGCCCCTTGCTCCCGGCCGGCCGTTGGCGACCCCCCCTCACAAACCCCTCACAGGCAGCACCCCCCGTCCCCCCCCCCCCTCCCCTCCCCTCCCCTCCCCTCCCCTCCCCTCCCCTCCTTCCCCTCCCCTCCCCTCTGCCCTCACCGTCGCAGCGGCTGCCCGGCCCGCCCTGCCCCGCCGCCATGGCCCGGCCCGGCCTCCCTACGGCCTCGCCATGGGCACGGAGCCGCCTCAGCAGCCCCCGCGGCTCCGACACCGGCGCCCGGCACCCGGCAGGGACCTGAGGGGACCGGGGAGGGGACGGAGGGGTGGGAGGGGAGGGGAGGGGGGGGGGCGCTGCCCGCCCGCTCCCAGCGCTCCGCCGCCGCCACCGCCGCTCCGCAGGCCGGGCGCTGAGGGGCGGGGAGCGGGGGGGGGTGGGGGGGGGCAGCCAACGGCGGCGGCCGACGTCACGCGGCCCGCCCCCAGCCCCGAGCGCTTGGCGCCAAAGCGGGGCCAAGCGGAGCGGGTGGGTGGGTGGGGAGGGGGGTGCCTACATTTCCCAGCGTGCAGCGCGCCGCCGGGATCGCTGATTACAGGCGGCGGCGCGGCGCGGGGCGTGCTGGGAGGTGTAGTTCGGAGCGCGGCGGTGGGCGGGGCCGCCCCCACTCCCTCCCTCCGTTTCCCTGCACGTGACGGCGCGGCCGGGTGACGCTAGCGGGCAGCGGAAGCGCGCGCGGCTCCGCGCCGCACGTGGCTGCCGCCGAGACCCCCCCCCCGCGCGCCGTTACCGTTAACCGTCAGTTACCGTTACCCCCCCACACACACCGAGAAGATGGCGGCGCTGCGGCTCCCCCTGGCCCAGCCCCTGCAGCTGCTGGCGGCCAGGAGCGACCGGAGCGGCGCCGAGCTCGGCGGCTTCCTGGCCAAGCCGGTGAGCGCCGCCCTGACCCCCCCGCGGCCCCGTTTCCCTCATTATTTCCCCCGTTTTCCCCCTCGCGACCCCCTTTTTCCCCCCCCATCCCGTCCCCGCCGCCATTTCGCGGCAGCGGCTCTCCCAGCCCGGCAGCCCCCAGGAGGAGGAATTTGGGGAGGGGGTGGGGGGGGGGAAGGGGGGAGCTGCTGAGGGTTTGGACCTTTCTGGCTATTGCGTTTGAAGGCTGAAAAGCGAAGTTACCGTATTTTTTCGGAATATTGACGTTTTCACCCCAAACCGCCGCCTCCCGGTTCCAGCTGGGGAAAACTTTCACGTAGCTAATCGCTATTCTCCGTCGGCAGACAGGTGGCTTCGCCCTTTTTCCCCCCAAATCATGGGATCGGAGTAGAGCTGACTCAAGCATTTCTTCATTCGTATATTTGAGAGCTTGTGCTGGGTGTGAAAGGGGCCGAGCCCTCTGGCAGCAGCTGGCTGGGAGGCGCTTGGGGTTTAAATGTCCCCACAGCTGGAAATTGGTGCAGGCTGGTTACCTGCACAGCTTGCAGAACAACAACATACTCTTTCAGAAACCAAAGTGCTCTTTCCAAGCTTTGAAGTTACATATTTAGTTGTACGTCAGTCTTGTTTTGCTACTAAACAGCTAGAGCCCACAACCAAATCCTTTGAGATTTGTGCTAAGATGCTCTTTGTGTGGTAATAGAAGATTATCCTATAGTATGTAGCCTTTTACTTAGGATATTAATATGCCACTAACTCTGCAAAGGTACAGTAAATTTCTGTGTTCTTAGTGAGGAAAATGGGACAAAAAGTTATCTAGAACAGCCTTAATTTGCTGGCTTTCTGTCTTGGGATAATTTAAGCAAACTGTCCAAACAGTAGGTTTTGTAGGATTTGTATGCTGAAGCTTTTCAGAAATAGAACTGCAATTTCTGTAGATACCAGTGGTTTATTCACACATACTGAATCCGCTTAAGTAACTACGTATTGTGCTGCATCTCTTCAAAAGCTTGTAAGTAAACTTCCAAACAAAAAAAAAAGTCATACTGTTATTTTTTTTTTTAACATGCGATCTGTTCCATTAGCACAGCTGCAGTAATGGTTCAGTATTTTACTGTGGCAGATATCCATACACCAGTATAAATTTCTGTACCACCTAGAAAAACTGTTGGACTGTGTTTTTGACTCTGTGTGGTACCAGAGATCTAACAGATGTTTTTTTATATTAAAAAAAAAAAAGTGATGTAGCTGTCCTACATTTGCCCAGTTACTCAGTGGTTGTCAGAAAAGTGTCCTGGTGTTCTGACAGCTAAGGCAGCCTGGTTCTGTTTTTTCCTAAAATGTGGCTTCAGCTTTTTGTTTGAAAGTTTAAATAAGCTTTAAGATGGAACTCTTTTAAGACGTAGCTTTATAAGTAAGGCAAGGTACATTGCATTTGTCACAGAGTGTATTCTCATGTCCTGTTTCTAATTTTTGAAGAGCTCTTTTTTTTTTTTTTCTGAGGCAATCTGCTAATAAGCACACTGATGCAAAAGCCTCAGAACGTTTTTGCTGTCCTTGGCAATCTGTGCAACTGTGCTGACTGCGCAGTGCTGGAGGAGGTGTAGGAAGTTCTCTTTGGTTTTGCAGATGGCTAAAGTTATCACCACTTTCTCCTTGTGAGACTGTGTATTCCACCTGCCCTTTATTTCTTTATTTATATTTCTTGAGGCTTGTGGGTTCAAGAGGAGTGCAGGTTCCGGTTTTCCTTTATCCTGCTGACCTGGAGAGCTGCCAAAATAAGTGGTCCAGCTCTGTTTTCTCTTGGTCTATATCCACATCTCTCTGTTGCTGCTCTTATCCTGGATCTAGCAAGTGTGCTAATGCGGAAAATCCCTTCAATTTTCCCTCCCAGTGGAAGACTTTGGGAGGGGGATTAGGTTGGATCCTCTTGCCAAGTGGACTCCTAGACCTGATCTGAGGGAACGTGGTTTCTCTGTATTGCCTCTTTGGGTAATAATACATGACACATGCATTTGTTGGGTATTTGGAGGGTCAGGCCTTTGCGATGCTTTTGTAAATCAGCTGCTTGGAACTGTGGGCACAGATCTGCTGTCCTGGACTTGAACACTGACATTAAACACTTTCTAATCAGCTGTCTTTTGCTACTGACTAAGGAAGTCCTGTATTTCAGGAAATCACTGGTAGTTAAAATTCCTCTCTGACAGTATTACTCTCTTCCAAAAAGTTTTGATTTAAATTCTGACAGGCTGTGAAATCCAACAGACCGTCTCTTTATAGAATGAGAATTTTGCCACTGTGATCATTTTTTTATCAGTTTTACTTGTCCTAAGGGTGCTGTACAGAATGATTAAAAATTGCTTGCTCTCCCAAAATTCCTAATGGATTCTGTGCCCGGTAGTCATGTAACTACAGAATGTTTCTGAATCAGACTGGCTCGTTTACGTTTATTTACTGTTTTACTGTTATTTGTTCCTTTTATTTCGATGTGGGAAGCTCTGGTTAATAAATTAAGCACCCTGTTGTGTGCTGAATGAAGGATTGTTTCTTTTCAAATTCAGGAGTAGATGCAAAAGAACTTGAACAAGTGCATACATGCTCTAAAAGATGTCAGTGGTGGTATAACCTTAGGAGGGCACCTTTGAAAAATGGTGTGAAGGACCTCTAGTAACAAGGAAACCATCCCTGCACACCCGCAGGTTTTACACAGATAGCAAAAGTCTGGGCAAGGCAGAAATTGACAGCACATCTAGCTAAAATGTCACCACCTGAATTGTGGAATGTTTCTGTAGGAGTTCAGTAAGTGACTATTTTGTTTGGAAAGCTACCTTGTCTGGTTGTATTTACTGCTGTTTGCCAGGAAACACAAAAATCTTCTTGATGGGATGAGCACTTGCTTGGTCAGTGAGGAAGGGGAGAGTGGAGGGTCAAAGTTAGGAGCAAAACATGGAGTTCAAATCTTTAATCCTTATTTTTCACAAATCAGAATTACTTGCACTGAACGTCATGCGAGTGGAACAGTGCTTACATAATAACATGAGGTCAAAGACCAAAAACAAGAGCATAAAGGTACAAAAAATATAGAAAAGTAAGAAGAATTAAAAAAAAAAAAAAATCTCAACTTCAAAACTGTAAATACATGCTTCTTGTCATTATTCACCATAATTGCATCTGATATGGAAGTAACAGCTCCCCTTTTTTGACAACTTGAATTTATAATTCTTTGTAATTCCTATGTATTGACATTCTTCATATCATATGTTCTGTTTCCCTTGTTTCTTAAACTATGGAGAGCTGTATTGAGTAAATACTTTCACTGTGAATTTTGCCCCTTCCCCTTTTTTGCTTTTCTGGAAGATTTGTTCCTGTAAAATTCACCGTGAATCCTGTACAAATAATTAAGCGTGGAATGATTTAGACTTTTAACTTGTTCCTACCTTCCTTTCCTCTAGACTTGGACTCAGCATGACCGGCAATGCATCCTGGATACTTTAGCACAGTTATTACTGGATAAAGAATGTACTGTATTAATTGGCCGTCAGCTTCGACCGATCTTGTTGGATTTGCTGGAACGAAATGCAGAAGCCATTAAAGCTGGCGGCCAAATCAACCATGATCGGCATGAAAGGCTGTGTGTAGCCATGAGCAAGCTGCTGGCTGACCACCCGGATGTGTTGCCGTAAGTAGCGCAGAGCCACCTTGCGCGGTGTTTGAATGTACGGGGTGTGTGCACGTCAGTGTTTGCTGGTGAGGAGGTGGTGTGACAGGGCTTTGGGTTGTCTCCCACAATATCAAAGGTATTTTCAATTGAAAGAATTACCTAGAAAGCACAAGTCTTAAACACAGCTTATTTAAACTGTTTGGTAATACCTAATGTGATTTTCATCATTATTCGATGAGAATGAAAGTAAAACAGAACAGCTGATTTGAAAACTGCCAATAACCAAAATGTCTGTATTTTATATTAGACCTGTAGGCCAGTTGAATACAAAGTTGCCTAAGTGGAAATTAGTATTACTTTCTCAGTAAACAAGAGAAATCAAAAAGATTTCACCAAAAAAATGGTTCTCCTTGCTAATCAAATAATGATCTCTAATAAGGTAAAGTATCTGTTGACAGCTGATTGCTAAACTGGTCATCTTTCCTAGGCATGGACAAAGTTAAATACAAACCTCAGTTCAAGCTATAACGTCAATTAGTGTTTCAGGACCTCTGAAATAAAGCATCAGTGACTATTTTCTTTTGCTCTGGCTTAAATGTCCATATTCCATCTCTCTCTCTCTCTCTCTCTTTCTCTTTCATATGAAGATTTGCTTTAAGATATTTTAAGAACACATCACCAGTTTTCCAGAGGCTTTTCCTGGAGAGCTCAGATACAAGCACAGTCCGATACGGGCGCAGACGAATGAAGTTACGTGACCTCATGGAAGCAGCATATAGGTTTTTACAAAAGGAACA